AAAACTTATTATGTGAAGAGACAAGAGAGGTAGATGCTGAGAGACCCATTTTGATTCTTGATTGTTTTTTTGAGTTTTGTTTACTGCAATTTACCTTTTAACCACTTGGTTTTAAATTCCCTTTTTACATTGTTACTTATCTGAAAACAAAAAGGAAGGAGCTGGTGATGACAATCAATGTGACTTGAACTACTTGGTACCAACCAAACTAAACTGCAATATTTGTTAAAATTAGCAAGAAGGAATAATAGTTTAAACAGCTGAATGTTAAATTGCTAAAGTAGTAACTTGCACCAAATTTTCCACTGAAACTTTCGCAAGAATTTTTGTAATGTTTGCCGCCTTGACCCAACCAAAAAATTCGTGTTTTTTTTTGCGCCAGCGCCAAAATCTTGTGAACGTTAAAAAAATTTAAAAGTCACTTGCCAAAAGTCTAATAAAAACCCACACAACCTGCCACCTTTCAAAATTCAACAACAAAAAAAAAAGTCAATCATCTCATTACAAGATAGTTGATACTAGTCTAAACTCCTAACAAAAAAACACACAAATTCACACACAAAATGAGAGAAGTCGTCTCCCTCCACATTGGTCAAGCCGGTATTCAAGGTAACTATCAACACCTAATTTCACAATTCTCTAATATATTAACATTTTTAATCTATTCACATGATTCATTTTCCAATCTCCACTTTTTATCATCAAATTTTTCTAATCTAAATTTTTGAAAATCTTCTTCAACAAAGTTGGTAACAGCTGTTGGGAATTATTCTGTGCTGAACATGGAATCAAACCTGATGGTACCACTGATTCTGTTCAAGGTAACGATGCTTCTGTTTATTTCTCCGAAGCTTCTTCTGGTAAATATGTTCCACGTGCCATGTTCTTGGATTTGGAACCATCTGTCATTGATGCCATTAAGAATACTGAATACAAACAATTGTATCATCCAAATTATATGATTCGTGGTAGTGAAGATGCTTCCAATAACTTTGCTCGTGGTCATTACACTATTGGAAAGGATATTTTGGATAGTGCCATGAATACTATTAGAAGAATTACTGATAATTGTCAATCATTGCAAGGTTTCCAAATTTTCAATTCTGTTGGTGGTGGTACTGGTTCTGGATTTGCTTCTTTGCTTTTGGAAAGATTAGCTGTTGAATTCCCTAAAAAGACCAAATTGGGTTTCAATATTTATCCATCTCCTCAATTGACTACTTCAGTTGTTGAACCATACAATTCAGTCTTATCTACTCATTCCTTATTGGAACATAATGATATTTCAGTTGTTTTGGACAATGAAGCTATCTATGATGTCTGTAAACAAAACTTGAAGATTGCTAGACCAGATTACAGAAATTTGAATCGTGTCATTGCTCAAACTGTTTCATCATTGACTTGTTCATTGAGATTCCCAGGTTCATTGAATGTTGATTTGAACGAATTCCAAACTAATTTAGTTCCATATCCAAGAATTCACTTTATGTTATCTTCATTGGCTCCAATGGTTTCAGTTGCTGAACAATACTATGCTACTAATAATGCTGCTGAATTGACTAGTAAGGTCTTTGAACCAAATAACATGATGGCCAAATGTGATCCAAGAAGTGGCAAGTACATTTCATGTTGTTTAATGTATCGTGGTAAGGATGTTGTCAATAAGGATGTCAGTGATGCTGTCAAGATTATGAAGAGCAAGTCCAGTATTCAATTTGTTGATTGGTCTCCATGTGCTTTCAAGATTGGTATCAATAATCAAGCTCCAACCATGTTGCCAGGTTCTGAAATGGCTCAAGTTGACAATTCATGCTCAATGATTTCCAATTCTACTGCCATTGCTTCAGTCTTCTCCAAGATGAATGACAAGTTTGATTTGTTATATGCTAAACGTGCCTATGTTCATCACTTTGTTGGTGAAGGTATGGAAGAAGGTGAATTTGCTGAAGCTCGTGAAGATTTGGCTGCCTTGGAAAAGGACTATGAAGAATTGGAAAAGGATTCAGGAGTTGCTGAAGAAGATTCCATGTTGGATGAAGGTGAAGAATTGTAAATTAGTTTTCAATCAAATTTTTCTAACACAAAAACAACGAATAACAACCAGAAGAAGAAATATTCAAATTAGGTTTTGAATATAATCTCCCAAATAAATTATTAACTCTTTAAATTATTATTACTTAACAATTGTAAATTTTACTAGTTTCGAATAGATTGAACTTTAAATTGGAATTAATAAGAAATATACCTGCTCGGCACTTTTGATATCTAGACAACACAAGGAAAGCACAAATTTCAAAAGGAATAATTTTTATGTACATTGGGTAATAATAATATCACTAATTTCTAATACAATTTTTAAAATACAACAGAGGAATTGTTTCTTCCTCTGCACAACACACTAAAACCGAGTAAAACCTTCTTATTGTTCAGTCAATAATTCAGCATTCTTCTTCTTCTTCAAACTAAACCTTCTCTTTGAAACCTTTTCTTGTTGTTCCTCCTCATGTTCATCTTCATAATCTCCAATCTTTCCCTTCTCCTTCAAGTGAGTCATTGCTCCAGAGTGTTCTCTTTCCAAATCTTCCTCAGCCTTTTGAAAACGATCAGCATTTTGTTTAGATGAATTGGCTCTAGCCCTTCCGAGAACATTCCATGATGAAGATGTTCCTTGTTGTGATGATTCATTGTTGCTGTTATTGTTATTATTATTACTACTATCTAATTTATCAACGGAAGACTTGGAACGAACACGACTCAATGTTGTTGTTGTAGTTGATTGAAGTTTTTGTTGTTTGGAATTCTTGTGATTCTCCTGATCCATTTCATGGTCGATATCAATGGAAGGAACTCGGGTCTTTTTACTGAAGAGAAAACTCATATTGTATAAAGTTTGTTGTTGTTATTGTTGTTATTTGGAGAGCAAAATTGAAAGGGTTTGTTTTTTTCTCGTTTATATTTTCCTGAGAAAGTTAGAGTTTGATTTGGCGGATTTTTTTTAGTAGGAACTTTAAGAAAAAGGTATGGACTATGGTTCAGCAAGAATCTCAACGATGGATGTCAGCATAGATAAAAATAGATTTTTTGATGCAGTTTGTATTTGGGTAGTTTCGTTTAAGTGTCAAAACCTTATTCGAAACTGTAGTTGTAACAAATATCATTATTTATTTAGTTTTCATACAATCTGTAGATTAGTAAAATACAAGTAATTTGATATTGTCCTCCTTTTGAGAAATAACCTGTTCCCAATCGTCCAAATCATAATAATCATTAAAAATGTTATCCAATATTTGAACTTTGAGAGTTTTCAACCATTGCTCTTCAGTTTTTCTTCCCCAAACCTTTGGATTTTCCTTTCCAAATGCACCAATTATTTGTCTCTTGATTTGACAGAGCGGATTCATGTTGAGATCAATTTTTACCTTTACAATTTTCTTAATTTTGAAATTTAGTTTTTTCAACACTTCTGCTTCTGGATCATTATCTAGGAATATCTTTGGTAAAAGCTCAACTCCAAATCTAAATTCCTTCTCTACTATAGGAGGTGTCCCAAATGAAAGTTGTTTTGTAATTTTTGCACAGAGTGATTGGGTTGTTGAGCTCAGTTCCTTAATCGTCTCAACCTTTTGAGAAGCTGAACTGCTGCTACTACTACTATTGATGCTACTCGTAGTTGATGGTGGAATTGAGGGAGTTTCCTTAATGGCTGCCAAAGTTTCTCTTGGAGGAATATTCAAAGTTAGAGTTTCAGGATGAAGATGATGTCGACGTTCCAAATGAATTGAATGATCGTTTTGTTTGTAAAGTAAGTGAGCGCATCGACCATCAAGTTCTTTAGTGCCCATTTTCACACAAGCATCAAACATGTTTACAATATTATTTCCACTCGTGGATGAAATTTCCATATACATTTTAGCTCCAATCTTATTTTGCATTTCCAAACCATCGAGACGAGTCACGTGTCTTTCCTCTGAACCAACATCACTCTTATTACCCACAATCATCATACATGGATGTGGAGATACATTCTTAATTTCCTTACACCAATAATCAGCCAATTTCTCAAATGATGTAATGTCATTAATCGAAAATATTAATACAAATACATTGGCATGAGGATAATAATGTTGAACTCTATCCATTGATTGATCCTCTTCACCAGGTGTATCAATAAGATTTACATTCATTGTAAAACCTTCACAATTTTGTAAACTTTGAGTTGAATCAAATGATTGATCCAGTGCAGAACTATTCACAAATTTACAATGTCCAAGTGATGTCTTGGGAATGGTCACTTCTCTTCTCAATGTCTCAACTACTGATGGAATACATCCTCTATCATATTTATATTCCAATTGTTGTTGCTGTTGCTGCTTTGTAATATCATTCTTCTTATTTAATAATTCAGAATAGGTTATTAAACATGAGGACTTTCCAACACCTTCATCTCCGACCAAGACAATATTCAATGGTTCCAAGAGATGAATTAATGGTTGTTGCTGTTCTTTCTCATTAGAAGAAGCACAAGATGACGAATTTAAATTAATTGATTGTTGTTGATCATTAACTGCATGCATTCCGAAATTAATTTGTAAAGAAGATTAATGCTGGCTGTTGATGATGATAGATTGTCGTTTACAAGAAACGTATGAACAAACAGTTGAGAGGAGGAGTTGGATCTTTTTTTGTATTGGTTTTGGAGTGCGTCTATTTTTGGTAATATTTAGTTTTTAACTTTTTGGTTTTCTCGAGATAAAATATTTATAATTGATAATGATGTTTTGTTTTAATTATTAATATTGAATTGATTCGAATAAGAAATGGAAAGGTAATAAATGTTTGTGGTTGTTTTTAATCATTTTGATTAGAGTGTTCAGTTAAATGTTTAGCTCCTTACAACCAATTGCATTTTCTCTAATATCAAGAGATGTTAATTGAGATAATAAATAAACATCATGTTGTCTTCAGTCAACTCGTGAATTTAACTTTGTGCTATTTCACAAATAGTCCGATAGAATGAATTATTAAGATTGAACTGTAGAGAGATTTAATTCACAATAAATTAAAAATTGAAAACAGCTGTAGAATTCTTCTTTGAAACATCATAAATTCTGCCTTCCTTCTTGGCTCCAACCTTTCTATGAGTTTCAATCCAATCAATAACGAGATCATAAACTGATTTTCCATTCAAAGGATGTTCCTTTGGTGTTGCCTTTGTGAATGCACTGAATCCATCACCTCCATTGAGAATATAGGTTACTGTTGCAATATTGTACACCTTGTTAGGATCAATATCGACACCATTGAGAGTCATTTTGGCAACTCTCTTCATTGGTGGCTTGGTAGTGTCATATTGTACACAAACTCCTCTTGAAAAGTGTGGGAAAGATCCAATGACACACTCAGCCTTGGCTACACCTTGTTCTGTAACTTCCATCAAGTCACTTCCCTTAATTTCTGCCAATGAAATGTTATTAGGGAATGGGAATTCCTTCAATACATCCAAGCGAGTAATTCTCTTTGAAATATCATAGAATCTATCTCCTCTAATACCTCCACCGCTATTGTAAAGAGATATTAAGTGATAGTATTAATGGTAAGTAAAATAAATTTAGAATAAAAACTCACTTGATAATGGCCAAATCAGCTCCAAATGAATCCAAGAAAATATCAGCAATAAAGTTTGCATAAGTAGTTTCCTTTGATCTGACACTTTCTGTTGAAGAATCCAATTTAGTAACAGTCAATCCGATTTCTTCCATAATTCCCTCTGGTAATTGTTTCATGTACTTTTCAATTATTTCAGAAACCTTTTGATTTGGTTTATAACCTCTGTTTACAATCATGTTACAGCCTGGGAAAACTTTGAGTTGGACAAGATTTTCTCCATTGAGTGGAGTTTGTTTCTTTTCAATGGACAAATCAATTCTGGTTACATATTGAGCATCGTGACCTGCCTTATGAATGAAACAACTACCTTGTACTTGTGAATGTGGTGTGTGGTCGTGACCTCCTAAAATACCTGAAATATATATGAATCAATAATCATATTAATAACTTACAATCAATTCCTGGACAATTTCTTGCCAATTCTCTATCATCTCCAATAGTAAGATGGGTCAAAGCAATGACAACATCACACTTATCTTCCTCTCTCAATTCCTTAACCATCTTATTTGCAACAGTAACACTTGGCAAAAATACAGCCTCAGTACCTAAGAATAATATGAATCAATATAGGTTAGGTCAATAACTTACCTGGTCTTGACAAGTATTCAGTATTCTTTGTACAAACACCGAAAACACCAATTCTAAAACCATCACATTCATGTATAACCTTTGGAATCAAACCAGGTAAAACCTTACTATGATCATCAGGACAAACTACATTTGAACAAATCCACTTGAATCTAGATTCCTTGACCTTTTCCAAAACATTTGGAGTTCCAAAATCAAATTCGTGATTTCCCAAAGTGACATAATCTCTATTTCACAAATTATCAACAAAAATTTCCACATTACATTATTCCGAAAGCAATCATCACTCTCTACTTACAAATCAATATGATTCAAAATATCAATCATGTGATATCCCTTATACTTAGTGGCCAATGTTGAAGCACTCATAAAATCACCATTCAATGTGGCAATACAATGTCTACTCTTGAACTTTTCCTGTTCGATGATGGTTTGTAATTCAGCCAATCCTCCCAACCCATCGTTATCTCTAAAATCGGACAATATTTTGATCATCATCAATTTTAAATATTTTGATTTAAATATAATATATCGTATTAATTAATTAAACATTAAACATTTTGAAATCCACAAATGAATTTAAACATGACAAGAATGGTTGATGAAGAAAATACAATCAATACAAATATTTCATTATCAATAAACCTACGGAAGCATTTCATACACATCATTTACCATAATAATAGTAAATACAGTCTTTTTAATGGTTTCTGTTGGTGAGAGAAACTTTTCCTTCAACAATTTCCAGTGGAATGAACTCATTGTTTTATATTTTGGATTGTATTAGAGAACTTTTTTTCTTTGTGTGAGTGGTGATGAATTTCTTTGTTCGTCATCTTCATCACCAACTGCTGGTTTGGATAATGAATATTCATCACACATTTTGATTATTAATGGTTGATGGTTTTATTCTTCTTCCGTGCTTTGTAATTATAATAATAGTGTTAGACCTTTGTTCTTGGTGTGCTGTAAACATTTAGAATTAATATTTTCCAGTAACTGATCACATAAACTGGTAACTGTAATAGATTTGGTCTGTTAAAAATCTTAAACAATTGACTTTTAGAGAATGAGAGAGTGGGTCAAGGCCATTCATTGAGGCTTCTTAGTTTATTTTAAAAACCATCATTAAAAAATGTTCAAATTTAATGTTGCCCTTGTTGTAGCTGCTGTGCTCATGATGATGATGTATATTACATCGGTTAGTGCTCAACAATCTAATGCTGTGGGAATCTTGGCTGAGAAGAAGCAAAATCTTGCTAGTTTGGATAACGCTATTGCCTCTACTAAGGATTTGATTCAAGGAGCTGTAGAGTTTGGAGCACACGAATTGCAAGCTTCCTATGTCAAGCAAAAGAAGGAGCAATTGGTTGAACTCTCAGAGTTGAGAAATGTTTTGCAGTATGAAGTTGATTTCCTCTCCAAGCAAGTACCAACCTCTTCCAGACAAAATGGAATGGTCATTAATTCTGTTAATACCCCAACCACTAAGGAAGAAAAAGCTGCTAAGCAAGTTGCCGAAGAGTTGAAATTAAAACAAGAAGCTGAAGCAAAGGCACTTGCTGAGAAACAAGCTGCTGAAAAGAAGGCAAAGGAAGCTGAAGCCAAGCAAAAAGGCGAACAAGAAGCTGCTGCCAAGTTGAAGGCTGAAAAAGAAGCTGCAGAAAAGAAAGCTCAAGAATTAGCAGCTCAAAACAGAAAGTCTGAATTCACCATTGAGGCTGCATGTGACAATTCCTATTCTCTCTATATTAATGGTGGTAAAGTCATCTCTGGCGATAGTTGGGGTAGTAAGCAAAAGACCAAGGTAACTTTAACTAATGGAGACTTGATTTCTGTCCGTGCTTTTGATATGGACGGTTTGGGTGGTTTGCTTGTCAATATCTATAATGATAAGGGACAACAATTCAATACTGGTTCATCAACTTGGAATTGTAAGGTTGGTGATCTCTCTGTTTCAGGAGATGAATTCCTCAGTTGGCCTGTTGGTGTCAAGGCTCCTCACTCAGATAACTATGGAGTTACTAAGCAATCAGGTTCTCACTGGATTTGGACAAAGAGCCAACAAAAAGGTTACATTACCTGTGCACAAAGAATTAAATTCTAAATGTAATTTGTTTTTTGGTTCAATAATTTTCAATACATATTCTTGTGAAAATGAAACAATTACAAAATTAATTAACAATTTTCTCATACGAGTACTTGTACGGATATTCACTTCCTTGTTTTCAACTGCAACGAAGAAGGGCACCACCAAATAAACACATCACACCACAAAACGGAGTCGCCGTAAGTTACGGGAACGGAGTCTTTTTTTCACTTCCGAAAAAAAGATTTTAAAAAAAAATGAGTGATAAAAGCAACGAGAGAGCCTCACTCTTATCATCAACACAGCAACACCAACAACAACAAGAAGACAACAATGACAACAACGGAAGAGAAGATGGCGTAAATATTGATGTAGATTTTTCTGCTCAAGCCGCTAAAGAAATTTCTCACTATGAAACTGATCGTGCTGGAACACTCGGTAATTGGTCAGATTCTTGTTCCTTGCCATTCATATTGAGTATATTCTTGATATCAATTCCATTATTGTGGTTTATCTTGATTTTCCAAAATGTTTACATGAATCCTTTTAATTATAGTCCTGATTTTGAATGGGTTGGACCACACCGTTTCGTAAATAGTACCAGTGGTAATGGTAGCTTGCCAATTTCTGAGAGTTTTATTGAAACTAATGTTATGGATCATTTTCCAAAGTTGTTGAGCATGTATGGTATTGCTGGTGCTCAATTGGTTTTGGTTGATACTGCTTCTGATGATGATGATAATTACAGAGTTAGACCTTATGCTTTTGGTCAGAGAGATATTTATTTCACAACAGTGAACAGTTCTGTTACTAATCATACTCTCTTTCAAGGTTAGTTTTTATTGTTGCATTTTCATTAACAATATGATTGTTATTATATTATTGGTATTTGTGTTATCATCATTTGATGACAACCGTTTCGAAAATACTATTCGGAAATGTCAAATTTTCACATATGATGCAATCAATTGAAATTAATTGTAAATAGTTGGTGAAATTTCTGAAACTATTACTGGTTTTGGTATTATGAAACTTGTTCAAGATGGTAAAATTACATCTGTTCGTTCATCTGCCAATCTTTATCTTAAGAGAGGACTCCTTTTGAATTTGAAGGGTGGTCAAAGTAATGACACTACTATTATGAATCTTTTGACTCACACTTCTGGAGCTGTTGATATTAACCAATATGAATCATTCTATGGTCAACCAACCACTAGCCGTAACCGTGTTGTTTTCAATGATGTTTTCAACAGTATTCGTATTGACCCTTCAAAGACTGGTGTTTCTACATCTAGAGTTTCTAATGGTGCTGATATGGCAATTTTGCAAGCCATCATTGAAGATGTTACTGGCCACAATTTCACAAATTGGATTAACTTGAATGTTCTCAATCCTTTGGGTTTGTCACTTTCTACTTTTGACACTGATGATGTTGCTAATATTCGTACATTCAGTTCTTCCTATGGCAGTTATTTCTACGCTATTCCAGAATATTCCTATAGTGTTCAATCTGGTTTTGGATTGTACAGTTGTGGTATTGAAATGGCCAATCTTTTGATTGCTGGTTTGAATGCTGGTATTGAAGGTAATGCTGTTCTAGATGCTGAACATACTGAACAACTTTTCAATTATTATGAATATATTAAGGACAAGTTTACCACCTCAATGTCTCTTGGTTCAGAAATTGAAGTCTTATCTGATGGTTCCATGACTAATTTCCAATCTGGACACAATCTCGGATGGCATGCTCGTTATGCATTCAACAGACAACACAAGCAAGGTTTTGTCATTTTGGCCAATACTGAAACTGCTGCTCCTGTTTTGGATGTTTTCCACTGCTATTGGGAATATCAAATGACTGGTAATAGTCAAAATAATGCTTGTAGTAGAGTTAATGATAGAGCTATTGGTGGTTTGGTTATTACTATTGTTACTTGGTTGTTTGCTATTGTTTTGTTCATTCTTTGGTGTGTTATGACAGCATTTATTTGCCACTCTAAGGTTCCACTCACTTGTCAATTCCCATTCTTGACCTCTGGTTGGTTTGAAAGTGCTAGTAGTGCTTCAGTTTTGATTAGATTTGTTATTGTCGTTGTTACTTCAGTGATTTACACTGCCTTGATGGTATTCTTACACAGTGACATTTATGGCCTTATTGCTTACAATGTTCCTTACATTATCTTTGCTATCAAGTTTGCTCCATTCTACTTGCCATTCAGTTCTCTTGTTTTTGGATTCTATTGCATGACCTTTATTTGCATTGCTCTTTTTGTTTACCGAGTTGTTGATGAAGAAAAGAAGGAAAAGAACTATCAACGTATCAATTAAGAAATCAATTATTACAGGCTCATCAAGTCTCTGTAACATTAATATTAAATTATTTAAAAAATTCTAAAGTTCAATCATTCAAGATTTATTCAAAGCACTATATTTTGAACATTAAACTTGCTTTATAAATGCAGAGTAAAGTTCACAAAGCATGAAACATTGAACATTAAATTGTTCATCCCGTACCCCTTTCCCTTAATACGAAACTCTTTAAAAAAATGTCTCAATATAAAGAACAATCTCGCACACCATCCTCCCTTAATGATGACGAGCTGGATTTAGTTTTCCAATTTATAAATGTTTTAGATGTGAAAGTGCTTAATACTCTCACTCTGGTCAATAAGAGATTCTTCTCCCTTGCTTCTTCCGATAGATATTGGACAGAATTCGATAACAAATTAAATCTCCAACATTCCAATCCAAAATCTAAACGTACACAAATTGTCAAACACAAGAGGATGAATGAACATGTTGGTGATATTTGTAGGGTTAAAACATTCTACAATGGATTTGCTCTCTTACTTTTTGGTTTTCTGTTAAATATTGCTGCTTTTGGTATGGCAATACTATGGTATCTAATTGAAGATGTATGGAAAGCAGCTGATTGTCATCAATATTCCATTTCCAACTCTACAGAAATAATCTATAATACCATTCCATTTCCAAACACAACTTGCATTCCATGTGAAAAGGGTTTGGCCATGTGTGATTTTAAAAATTCATTCTATCCATGTTGTATCGAAATATCTAAATGTACCTACGATAAAATCCCAACAGATTCATTCAAATTGACTATTGAAGTAAGGACTGAAATAACCATGCACTCTGATGGCTACAAATTCATTCGACCAACTCAATACAAATGTGGAGGTGAGGATGGCCCATGTAACCCATTAGAATACGAACACAGACACTTTATCTGCTATTATGATAGAAATGGAATCCTCACAACACAAGTTGAGTGGACATTAGAACCAATTGGCTTAACATCTGCAATAGGTGGTGTTGGGATCTTTTTATGTATGTTTAGTGCCATACTGATGATAAAATCTCTCATTGGAGGATTATTTCTCTATTGTATTGTAGAGATAGGATTGGCAGAAGAGAATTTGAATGAAAATATTCTAATCTATAGTTCAAAAGATCTACTTGTCAGCAAGCTTCTCCTCTTCACTGGTTTACACCGTAGACAAAGGAAGAAGGATAGACTTTTTATAACTAATCAAGTTGATGTAGTGTAATGAATGGAAGAACAACTCAATGGTTGAATAAGGAAGAATTTAAATTCTCCAAATAATCAACAATTTCAATAAATTCTGGTCTTTGTGAGGCATCTTGAGCCCAGCACATTTCCATTATTTTCACATACTTTGCTAAATATTGAATAATCTTTTCCCTACTACCAACATTTTGAATTTGTTTCTTGGTGAAATTATGTTCAATCCAATCATTTGTTACATTTTCGAATGAAGTTCCAAACATTAATTTAGGTCTGTGTCCATTAATAATATTCATTAGCATTGAGAATGGATTTTCAACTTGTTCCAATTCATCAGAAAATGGAGACTTTTCAAATAAAAGTTCCCACATTACAATACTAAAGGAATAAACATCCAATTTGGTGGATTGGCCTTTATAGCCTTGGTTAGATAACAACTCCTTATTTTCAATATTAAAGTAAAGTGAAAATAATTGTGAAACTTACTAAAGAGTTAACACAATGTAACAGAGCATTATAGGATGACATGTTAACAAAACAGAAAAATATACAACAATAATAAACCAACTGAAATACTTACCTGGACCTATTTGTGACAAACATTAAGGGAAGCAAAAATTGATATTCAACATGATTCGGTAGATTTGATCACAATACAAGAATAACATAAAGAACTTACTGGTGTAAAATAATGTGCCCACATTAGAAGTCATTGTATGCGAATTGGAAACTACCTTACTCAATCCAAAATCACATACTTTAGCATTCATATTTGAATCTAACAGAATATTGGCAGATTTTAGGTCTCTATGAAAGATTTCTTTAAACCATTAACCTTTTTCAAGTAGTACTTACCTATGAATTATTTTGTGTGGTTTGATTGAATGTAGATAGGTCAATCCTTTAGCCACACTAATGAGAATCTTCAATTTCACATTAAACCTCAAAACATTTTTTCCCTGATTGGAATTATAAATTGCCTTCTCAACACTTCCATTGTTCATATACTCAACGACCATATATTTTGCATTGGTTGTTAGTGAAACTCCAAAACAGCTTACTATAAATGGATGTCTTAAAGAAGACATTAAAATAGCTTCTCTTTCGAATTCTTCATCATCACTAGTTTCATGTTTAAGTCTTTTGATTGCCACATCAGTCTTATGCCATAGCGCATGATAAACACTTCCAAATGTGCCTTCCCCAATTCGTTTTACAATTTCAATCTCAGCTATTGGAATAATATATTGTTGAGAAATATTCTTTGTTTTAGACATTTCTCTATTGTTGTTAATAGAATTGGAATAGTTATCATCATTGAAGAGGAGTGGTGATTCTTCATTTGTTTCGAAAATGAATTGCTTATCATTGAACTTTTTCTCAATCTCCTTCTCTGCTTTTTCTTGTTTTTGTAATTTCAATAATTTTTTAATTAAAATCAAAGATCCATAAGAAATTGATCCAATAATAATCAAAAGTGAAATGAATCCCAAAACAACTGAAGGAATTATAATTTCAATAGCAAGATATTCGCATCCAAAACCAGTGCTCTCTTTCAAAATATAACTGTAAGGACAGGGAAGGATTTCAATTTGAATTTCTCTAATAATATTTGCATTAACTGTAATAGTGATTGGTATGTTTCTAATATATGGTTTGTTGAGTTTTAATTGTAATCCTACTATCAAGTGAGCATTTCCAGAAATAGTGCTTTGAGATAACAAGCCATCTGATGGATGTTTTGGTTGGATTGTTAAATAATTAGAATCTGATAGAAATAGAGCACTCTGATTATTCTTATCCATTATATAAAGATTTAAATAGAGTAATTGTCCAGGATAGGCTTGAATACTATCTTCAATAATTATATCATTCATACTAAGTGCTAAGGTTTGTAATGGATAGGCAATAAGATTACCATAAGAAGCACCTATGTTATTTCTTCCTTCCAATCTGTTTGATACCACAGTGCTATCTGAATAGATGCAGCCTCCTGCATAGAATGCCAGATTCTCTCCACAATACACATTCTCAATTTCAAGGTGTGAACCTAAACAATACACTGCACCACCAATATCAGCACGGTTTTGAATATATGAGCAATTATTCACTACTACACTCGACATGGTAGCATATATGGAACCACCAAAAAGTGCTATATTGAAAGAAAATACCGAGTTTCTAATATCAACTATTCCACCATCTACATATAGACAAGATCCCAAATTATTGCCAATGTTATTCATAAAATAACAATTTTCAATTTCAATATTGTAGTAACTATGATTTTGGTCAATGAATTTCAATAAAGCATCACTCTTAATGGTATTGTTTTGAATAATATTATTGGTAAGGGAAATTTTAGTAAACACCACACTTTGTGGCTCAGTAAAGAGCAAAAATCCGCCATTATTCTGGGAATATAATGTATCTCGTATGGTTAGGGAAGTTACAATCTGTAAAGACATAAATCTATTGGCTTCTGAAAAATAATTATTAGTAAATGTGCAATTTTGAATTATCAAAGAGTTGATACTAATCATTTGATAAAATTGACAATCATTTCTTGTGCCATTCACCAAAACATTGTCCAATTGTAATGTATCAATCAACATAAATAGTGCCAAAGAGTTTGTAGTGATATTTGATAATAGAACTGTCCTTCCAAGTTTGAATTCAGATTTTGTATTCATGCTGGTCCAAGTACTATTAAAGATTGAAAATAGCTCAAACAGCTGCATATGCACACTGCCAGTTAAAAAGGAATTTTCAATCTTGACCATGGATTGAATATTTTCTGAATGTAAATTAAAGAAATTGAGCCTCGAGTTGCTGATTTGTATGTGTCTAATATTGTTTTGAATGATTATTTCATTAAATTTACAAAATTCAATCTCCAGCTGTCTAATATTAGTGTTGACATCTATCACTCCAGTACAATTCTCTATTTTCACATTATCAATTCCCTTGTTGAATTGCAGGGTAGAAAAATTATCAAATATTCCACCATTCATATAGAACAAGTCAATTACACTTTCCCTTGGTAATATTAATTCTGTAATAAACTTTCCAATCCAAAATAATTCAAATCTTGTACAATATTCGGTAAATTCGAAAGGTAATTCTGATGAAAATCTTGATAAATTGAAAGGACTCATAATCACCATTTTGAATGTGTCAATAATCAAAGGACGTTCACCATTAGCAATATGGTTGATATTGTCATTAGAACTCATCATTGATAATTCCTTCCTAGCTGCCTGTATGACTTGATCCAAAGTAGAACAGGGATGTTGTTCATCTCGACACGTTAAATTTCTATACTCTCTTCCCTGCTGCTGTTGATCAACATAATATATGGCTGTGTAGATGTTTGTTGGTTCCTCTGTGTTATACCGATGATGATGATGATGAAGGCATTCGGAGTCAGAAACAACAAATAATAACAAGAAGAAAAATAGAAGGAAAATGTATGAAGGAAGATGTTGATACATTTTTTGAAGGTAGTTAACGTTTAATTATCATAAAATTGTAATAGATATTAAAAATCTAAAACCTTCAGGACTATCTATCGATACAGAAATAAAAACACTATGTTGATATCATCAAGCTGCTTGTTTATTTTTTTTAAATTAAATGTAACGGCTAGATATTTAGCTTCTTTTTTGCTTGAGGACTTATTCAATCAAACAGAAACAATTACGTTATTAATAGTTTTTTATTCAATTTAAACGAATCTTTAAAAACATTTAGTATTTATCCTCTTCATCGCACAACAACAGCTTCATCAAGCTGCTATTTAATTTTCTGTTCAATAAAAAGTTGATTGAATAAATTTGAATAAAAAAATGAGAAGCCAACACAAACAACAAATTGTTCGCTCTACGTGGAATTGGCTGTTGACCAATCAGCAACAACAACAACATCAAATGATCAACAGTAGCAATACAACTAGTTTGGGTGGGAATAATTATCGTCATCATCACGTTGTTTTGGGTAACGGAATGTCCCAAAGGGCTTTAAAATTATTTATTCAACAAGAACTATTAAAAAGCAAATTAATGCAACAAAGGGTGATGAATTATCATACTTGTTCAATTCAAAATAACGAAGAAAAGAAGAAATCATATAAAAAAAGAAAGGGATCCGAGGATGATGAAGAAGTATTCTTCCGTACAAGAAAAACCTATATTGAATTCGAGTTAAAAGCTCCTATGAGTGCAAGAGAGTTGGCACAAAAATTAGATATATCTCCCCATGAAATTATTAAACATTTACCTAAAGGATATACTATGGAAGATGTGATATCTATTGATACAATTGAAAATATGTGTTTGGAACATTTAAAATCAATACCTATCCGAACAAAACCTAAAATTCTATCAGAATCAGATTTGAAATTATTGGCAAAACTTGAAGATAATTCACCACCATCAGCAAGTGAAATGAAAAAGTCTGAGAAGGAATATGCCAAGCTTTTTAAACCAAAGGCACCTGTTGTCACAATTATGGGTCACGTCGATCATGGTAAAACAACACTTCTCGATAAATTGAGAAATACTAATCTTGTTGATAAGGAATTCGGAGGTATTACACAACATATTGGTGCCTTCCAAGTCAAGTTAGAATCAGTTGCCAAACCAATCACATTTATCGATACACCTGGCCATGAGGCTTTTACTTCAATGAGATCTTGTGGAGCTCAAGTTACAGATATCATTGTACTTGTAGTTGCTGCTGATGATGGTGTAATGCCTCAAACTAGGGAAGTTATTAAACATGCAAGAGAAGCCAACGTTCCAATGATTGTTGCCATTAACAAGATTGATAAACCTAATGCTGATGTGGAAATGGTCGAAAGACACTTGATGAATGAAGGAATTGTTTCTGAAGAAAAGGGAGGAGATACTCAATTTATTCCAATTTCTGCTCTCAAAGGAAAAGGTCTCAAGGATCTTATTGAAGCAATTGGTTTGCAAGCTGAAATGTTGGAATTGAAGGCAATGGTTGACAATGTTCCAATGCAAGGTACAGTTATTGAATGTAAGGTGTTGCACGGATTTGGTATTTCAGCAACCTGTATTGTTCGTAGAGGTGCACTGAAGGTTGGTAAATGGGTAGTTTCTGGTCTTGCCTATGGTAAAGTTAAGAGTTTGAGAGATCCGAATTTGAAGGAAGTTAAGGTTGCAAATCCAGCCGATCCAGTGGAAATTGTTGGTTTTAACAGTATGCCAAAGGCTGGAGATAAAGTTATCGAGGTTGATTCTGAAGAAACAGCAAAGAGAATCGTTGAATATAGAATCGAGTGCATGTCTATTGAGGCTGAAGACAAGAAGGCAAAGAAGTTTGAAGAAAAAATGATTGAAATGGAAAAGAGAGCAAGTTTAACTGAAGGAGTTGAAGGTGAAAAGGCTCAAGAAGAAAAAGTTGAAGAGGAGAAGAAGTATATTTTACCAATTATTTTGAAGACTGATGTTGTTGGTACTATTGACGCTTTTTCTGAAATTATTTCATCCTTCCCAACTGAAATTGCTCAAATTCAAATTATCAAACAAACTGTTGGTCCAGTATCGACAGCTGATATTCAACTTGCAAAGGTTGTTGAAGGAACTCAAATTATTGCTATGAATGCTAAAGTTGCTCCAAATATTTCAATTGATGCCAAATCTAACAATATTAATATTGCTCAATTTAAGGTTATTTATCACTTGATTGATTATTTGAAATTGGAATTAACAAAATTAATTCCACCAGTGTACGAGGATGTAGTTATTGGAGAAGCTATCTGTAAAGAGCCATTCACATTCCAAGACAAATCTTCATCAGGAAAAAAGAGTCTTATCAATATTGCTGGTTGTGCTGTTACCAAAGGTTCAATTTTGGCAAAGGTTGAAAAGGGAGATTTTTACAGAGTTATTAGAGATGGTGCTACTAGTCTTGAAAAGACTGCAATCAATTCATTGTTCCACTTTAAGGACCAAGTTAAAGAAGTGAAGAAGGGTTCTGATTGTGGTATTTCATTGGATCACTACAAGGATATCCAATCTGGGGATGTTATTCAACTAATTTCAAAGAAGGAGAAGCTTATGACATTTGAGGAATTAGTTCAAGAATCTGAAAAGAGAAAGTTCAGATTCGCAAAAAAGAAATACTAAGTTTTGAGAGGCGTATTAAATATTAATAATTTTTTTTAAATAATCTCTGTAGATGCTAAAATATTTAGATATTTTATATTTTTACAAAATCAATACCCACTTTCCACTCTTGGACCATATTTTCCAAGATGGGTCCAACGACGATTTTTTCAACCAATAGAAACATTCAAAAACTTTTCATTCTATTGTTGTAAACTATTCCTCCAATTTCGACATCCATTGTCAGTGCCGATCGCAACTCCATCAACACTTTCTTAAACAAAGATTCGCAGAACGAATTGCTTTGCAATATAACACAAACAAAAAAAATGTCGTTCAAAGTTGATTATCCATTGTGGATTTCATTGTGGCTCGTGATCCAAATTGCTTTGCAAACTTGGGATGCTGCCTTTGTCATGTTGAGACCTAGATCTATGAAGGGTGGAGATTTCTTTGCTATTTTCGCTCCTTGTAAGTAGAACTTTGAAAAGTATTGTCATTATTGAATATTTGTTATCTTTCCGATCTGATGATGTTAATGAATAGATGATTTGTATATTCAAGTAGACAAATCGTATGGTGAATTGCAAAATGGCTTTGTTATTGCTCAGACCCTTGTTAACTTTTTGGAAATTTTATTGATTATTATTGGATTGTTGAGCAGAAAGTCATTCTGTGGATTTTCACTCATCTTGTTAGGTTCAATCATGAGTTGTTCCAAGACAATTTTATACTTTTTGGTTGATATCTGTGATGGATTTGAATTTACTGGACACAATGATTGGCCAACTTGGATTAGTTTGTACTTTATTCCATCATTTGTTTGGATCATCTTCCCTGCTTTGACTGTCATGTGGGGATATGGTGTTTTGACTAGACATGTTCATGGTAATACTGAAAAGAAACAAAACTAGGTTGTTGAATGCAAGATTGTAAAAATTGTGAATAAAGTATTTATTAAGAAGAAATTGAACTTGAAACTTTTTCAATAAGTTAATGTTCAGTTTATTTTATTTACATTTTGGATACTCGCTTCTAATTAGTCAACTGTGGTCATTTAATGTTTAACTTTTTTCGACTTACTTACTCCTTCATTATTATCCAAGACAGTAAATTTGAATTTACCATCAACACCTTGAATGACAATTTGTGAACCATCTCTGAGTTCTCCTTTGAGCATGAGTTTGCTGAGTTCTGTAACAATGTGCTTTTGAATAAATCTTGCAAGAGGACGAGCACCATAATTTGGATCAAATCCTTCAGAAATAACCAACTCACAAGCAGAATCTCTAATATCAATTGAGATGTCTCTTTCTTTCAATCTTTCTGTTAGAGATTCCATTTGTAATCTAACAACATTAACCAAGTGCTTGCTTGTGAGAGGTTCAAAGAAGAGAATGTCATCCAATCTATTCAAAAATTCAGGAGTAAAGTGTTGTCTTACTTCATTCATGACTTGCTTCTTCACAGTTTCCTTGTTATTATCATTCATAGTGAGGAAGTGCTTTGAACCAATATTAGAAGTCATAATGATAACAGTATTCTTGAAATCGACAGTTCTACCTTGACCATCAGTCAATCTACCATCATCCAATAATTGAAGGAGTACATTAAGAACTCTTGGATGGGCCTTTTCAATTTCATCAAATAATACAACTGTGTAAGGTTGTCTTCTGACTGGTTCAGTCAATTGATTATCATCAGAATAACCAACATAACCAGCTGGGCTACCAATCAAACGAGAAACACTGTGTTGTTCCATCAATTCAGACATATCAATTCTGACCATGTGCTTTTCGTCATCGAATAATTCATAGGCAATTGACTTGGCAAGATATGTCTTACCAACACCAGAGGAACCCAAGAATAAGAAGGAACCAATTGGTTTGTTTGGATTGCTCAAACCAGCCTTAGATCTAATGATTGATTCAGAGAGGGATTTAATGGCATCTTCTTGTCCAACAACTCTCTTCATCAATCTTTCTTCCAATTTCAATACCTTATCCTTTTCACTTTCATTCAATCTTTGAACTGGAATACCTGTCCATCTGGCAATAACTTCGTTGATTTGTTCTGGTGTGACAACGTCACTGGTCATATTTGCACTATTCACACCATTCTTTCTATCGTCTTCTTCCTTTTGTTCAATCTTCTTCTTGAGTGATTGGATTGATTCTTCAATTTCTGGAATTGCACCATATTTCAAATCACTGGCCAATGCCAAGTCATACCTAGCTTCAGCATCAACCATCTTGGCTTTCAATTTTTCAAGTTTTTGATTCTTTTCTCTCAATTCATTGACCAATGAAGTTTCAGCCTCATATTTAAGCTTGATTGGTTTGAGTTCTTCGTCAACCTTGGAAATCTCATTCTTGACTTGTTCCAATCTTTGCTTGGTCTTTTCATCACTATAATTCTTTTCCTTTTCGAGCGCAGTTGCTTCAACTTGTAATTGGAGTTTCTTACGTTCCAAAGTGTCAATAATTTCAGGTCTGGAATTCAATTGAACTCTAATGTTAGCGGATGCTTCATCAATCAAATCAATACTCTTATCTGGATTGTAACGACCTTGAATATATCTGGCACTCAATCTAGCAGCTTCAACGATTGCACTATCAAGAATTCTTACACCGTGGTGAGCTTCATATCTAGATTTAAGACCTCTCAAGATACTAATTGTTTCTTGAACATTAGGTTCTGCCAAGTAGACTGGTTGGAATCTTCTTTCCAAGGCGGCGTCTTTCTCAATATATTTACGATATTCAGTTGGAGTAGTTGCACCAATTAATCTCAATACACCTCTTGCAAGGAGTGGCTTAATCATATTGGAAGCATCCAAAGAGTTATCACCAGTAGAACCAGCTCCTGACAAGGTGTGAATTTCATCAATGAAGAGAATAACATCACCAGATTCTTCAACTTCCTTAAGGATACTCTTCAATCTTTCTTCAAATTCACCTCTGAATTTACTACCAGCAACCATACTACCCAAGTCAAGTGAATATAATTGAGTTTGGAGATTCTTTGGAACATCTCCTGTTGCAATTCTCATTGCCAAACCTTCTACCAAGGCAGATTTACCAACACCAGGCTCAGCAAGTAAGCAACAGTTATTCTTGGTTCTTCTTGAAAGAACTCTAATCATACGAGCAAGTTCTTTGTCTCTTCCAATTAATGGATCGTATTTTCCTTGTCTGGCCATATCTACCATGTTAACACCATATCTATTGAGAGCATCATAGCCAGTTTCTGCTTGTTTAGAATCAACCTTTTTACCACCTCTAATCAAAGCAAGAGTATCTTTCAACACTTGTTTAGTCAATTGATTATTAGTAGCTTTGAGAATTGCGTTTGAAACATCACTGTCATCCATCAAGGCAAGTAATACATGATCCACTGCAAGTAAATGATCATCCAATTGATCCTTAATCTTTTCAGCAGCTTGTAAAACTGAAACTAATCTTCTATTTGGTGCCAAATCTTCCACAGGTGGATCTTGCACTGAAATCTTTGTATTCATAGCATTCTTCAATTCATCTGCAATCTTATTACAATCAATTGTTTTTTGTGATGATGAAACCTTCTTACAAACTAAAAAACCCAAAGATTGTTTATCATCGGGATTAAAAATCACAGCAGCAACATGAAGAGGTGATATGAAAATATGTTTTCTATCCTTTGCCATCATGTAAGCATCGGAAATGGTTTGATTTGTCTTATCAGTAAATTTATCTGGATTCATTTTGTTATTGTTATTGTTTAGATTTGTATGTACACTCGGACTATATAGCGCAAATAATTATTAGCAGAGTAGCTAAGTTGTTATTGTCTTGTTTTTTTCTTGTTGGGAATTTTTTTGGTGCTTAATGGATTTGTGCTTTTTATTTGATTTGGTAATTTTTATTTTTGGGTTTCGGAAAACTATTTTTGGTTCGGAATTGGAAAGTCCCGATACTACATGAAATATTTAAGATTTGTTTATTCTTAGATCATTTAAAGTGAGATTATGGTGTGAAAAGGTTCAAAATTGATAATTCGGAAGTTTTTGAATTCGGAATTTGATAGTTTCCAACAAAATTGAAGGGTTTATTTAGCATTTATTTAAAATCAAGAGCTTTAGAACTACTTTGCATGAATTGCTCAATATATTTATTTATTTTTATAATTCATTTTATTATAATCCATAGAATTGTTTAGCTTCTGAAATAAGTCTATCCCTATGTTTGGGATGAGCAACTCTTATCAATTCTCTTGCACGTTGTCTCATATTCTTTCCATAAAGCTCAGCAATACCATACTCTGTACAGACGTAGTGAATGTGACTTCTTGTGGTGACCACTCCAGCACCATTTTGAAGCATTCCAACAATTTTGGAATCTCCCTTACGAGTACAACTTGGAATGGCAATGATTGGTTTACCACCTTCTGATTTTGCAGATGAAGACATGAAATCTAATTGACCTCCTACTCCACTATAAATTTTTGTACCAATAGAGTCTGCACATACTTGACCTGTCAAGTCAATTTCAATTGCACTATTGATGGCTATCATGTTATTATTCATTTTAATTACTGCACCATCTGTAAGTTTGATTTTCACAAGTTTGTAAATGTTCAATTTTCACTCAACTTACCATTCACAAAGTCTGAAGTTCTGAATAAAAATTCTGGATTGTCATCAACGAAATCGAACATTTCCTTAGAACCCAACACGAATGAGCAAACAGATAATCCTGGATGAACATTCTTGTACTTGTTAGTAATGACACCTCTATTGAACAATTCCAATACACCATCTGACATTGTCTCAGTATGAATTCCCAAATCTGTATGATTAATTAGTGACGAACAGATTGCATTTGGGATTTCTCCAATTCCCATCTGAATACAGGCCCTGTTTGGAATCAATTCAGCTACATATTCTCCAATCCTTCTATGAATTTCATCTACATGGGCTATTTCAGGATCTGTTTGCGTAATGACACCACCTCTATGATTCAATACATTGAAACTGTCTGAAATTGCAGCATTTTCTTGATCCTTATTGAGTTTAATTTGAGAAACAATAGGTAAACAGACCTCCTCAGAAAACTCAACAAAACAATCAACATTATTCACATGAATAAAACCATCTCCGTGAGTTCTTGGCATGTTGGGATTGATTTGGGCAATGACTCTCTTTGCACACTGAACAGCAGCTGCAGAGATGTCAACTGAAACTCCTAGGGAGCAAAATCCATGCCTGTCTGGTGGAGAAACTGAAATTAGAGCAACATCAATTGGGAATTTCCCGCTTTTGAACAATAATGGTGCTTCACTCAAGAAGATTGGCAAATAGTCAATTGGTGAATTAGTGTCAATTACTTGTCTATCGGATTCGTAGAGCGCCTTTCGTTCGTGAGGACCAAAAAACATTGAATTCGTATGAAAATATGCCGAATTCTCTTTCAACAAATGAGGAGGTTGTTCGTTGTGATAATAGCTAATGTGCAACCCAACCAATTGCACCTTTTCATGATGACTTTTGGCAGTTTCACTTGACTTTTGGAATTAGACAATCAAAGTTTTTAATCAAATGCTTTGGAGTAGCACATCCAGTATGAAGGAAAACAACATCTCCCATTTTAATATGACTCTTCAAGGCTTCTTCTGCTGTGAGAATTTTGTGTTCGAATGAAATGTTTTGTTTACCAGTGTGTTGAGCATTCATTAACAAGTTTCGTACTTGTTCTTTTGAAGCATTGAATAGGCCATTTGAAGATTTTCTTGATGCTTTACTTCCAACCAAAATTTCAGCTCTTGGTTTGCATAGATGACTTGCTATTTTTTTCATTTTACTGTTTTTTAAAAATTCCTAAAATAGAAATCAACCATTTTTAGATTAATTTCAACTCATTCAATTTTAACAGAAATAAACATTACAATACTTGTTTGGTGTGGTTATCAATTTCATTTCCAAGATAGATCATTGTAAAGTGTTTAAAAAAATGTCACAATTAGAGGATCTTCCTGATGAGCTGCTCATGCAAATATTAAAATTTCTCATTGGAGAAAAGTTCGAAAAACATCATCATGCTCTCCAAGCGATCGATAATGCAAAATTTGAAAATAAAGAATTGTCAGGATGCTACACTACTTGGAACAGATGGGAACGAGCCAGATCGGATATTGATTATTTTGATTTAGCAAATTTAATTATACCTTTATGTGGTGTGAATAGACACATGAGAGAATTGATTAGAAAGAGTGAGAGTTTTATAATGTTTTGGAGAAGATATTTTGACCGATCTTTGGATATGATGAAGTTTTTGGCAAATGCTCCGAAAAGAATTAATGTTCCAAGCGTTGATGATTATTCCTTGATGGGAATTTCGTGTATGGAGTTGAGTGTTGGGAAGGACTTTTCCAATATGCAAGCTTATTCAAAGGTAAAAAAGAGAGTGGAATATTTCTATTCAACTGAGGTTGCTTTAATTGAGATATTTTGTGAATTGTTTCATGATACATTCGGAAGTAATGTTGCTGTTGAAATTCAAAGTCTAACAATTGGCAATTCCAATTTGGAAAAATTGAATGAAGTTCTTAAAGTTATTGAGGAGAGATTTCCTAACATTTCCAAGCTTGCAGTGCTGGAATCACACACCAATACGAAGAATCAAAATGTACCTCAATTTGAAATTTCTGATGAACTTAAATTGGATCACTTGGAGATTTTTACGTGTTCCATTCTCGATATTCAAACAGCTTTGCCTCAGAGATTTAAAAATCAGTTAAAAGAAGTTATGTTATACGAATCACTCAGTGATATGCATTCATTCGAGAATTTAGAATCTGTTGGGGTTTATAGGTTTGGTGGTCTATCTACTTATTCTAAAAATTGGACAAGAAAATTTGATTCCTCAATTGAGCTAGTTCACGACAAGGTATCTATTCTAAGTGCAATATCAGTTAAGGACCAAGCTTTAATGTACGCTTTTTCAAAACATTACTTTTCAAATCTGAAAGAACTGTACCTTACCTACTATCAAGCAAATATTTTGTTGGATTCAAATTTTATACTACCTCACTTGGAAATATTTTGTTCAGATGGACTTACTACATTTGATGGTGTAGAGTTGCCGAAATTATGGAGACTTGGATGTTATCAAAGAAGGTCAACTGTTGTTATCACAGAAAGACAGAAAAAGCTACTAAGCTTGCGAGATGTATCATGCCACATTGATAACAGTGATTTCTTAAATACTCCAAACCTAGAAAAGTTAGCTGTTTCCTCTTATTCACCAATTACCTTGACAGGATTGACCAAGTTAAAAGCTATCCATAGTACTTCTTGCCCATCTTTTGTAATAGATAATTGTGCTTCATTGGAATATGTAAATACAGAGAGGGGTGCAACCAGTCTAAAGATTATGAATCAAAAAAGAATTGATCATATCTCACATGGACTCTACTCTGATGTGGCAAGTCCAAGTTTGGACTTGGATTGTGAAAGTTGTGGTACTATTTACGTTAATGTGGGCACACAAGTCAACCAGTTTAATGTGAAACACGTGTCAAGATTGGTAATTTATGAGGATGTTCTTATTGCAAAATCGTTTGTGGGTAAGGTTGGAAATACTACAGTAGATGAATTGGAATTTAATTTATGGGTAGGAAATGAAACGGAAATGATCCAACCAATTACAAGCCTCATTCAAGAGTTTAAACAAGTTGGAAGAGTTGTTATTGTAAGATCTAACTACCAGGATCTTTTTTATTATACCACAGCAATATTCGAGAATACAGAGACAAACAAAATTGCAGACTTTCTAAACACTTCCTTAGTGAATGAGAATACTATTTATACGAGTGAACTCACACGATCACAAAAGGTTGAAATTCATTTAGAGAAGAAACTTATAATGCTATCAAAATGTGAAAAGCTGGAAAATTTGCAAGCTAAAGGCGGTATCATTTCCATAGACCTCAACCCATTGAAGAATCTAAGAAAACTGTATTTGACAAAGGTCTCACTTTTCAGCCATTCATTCCTCACTGAAAATATGAATAGCATTAGTGAAATTATTAGCAATCTAAACAATCTACCAGATGATAACATTGAATGTCTTAATTTGGCCATGCTACCACATATTCAAAAGATTAGAATTTCCCAATGTCAAAGCACAAAATATTAGCCTTTCACACCTCAAACAACTAAATCTCTTTGCAAATGACAGATTACAACTCAAAGTGACCAATTTACAATTACCCAACCTACAATCACTCATCATTTACAACAATCCAAACATTGAACGAGATTCAACTTTTGATATTACCACACAAAAGTCTCTAATTTTCAAATTATTGCAACCAATCCCAATGCAAACCATTGAAACTATATTGAACCAGCAATAATAATGAATCTTTTCAAGTTAATCTTCTCCAATAAAAACTGGAAGTATGAACAGCAAAAATTGTAAACCAAGCAAAGTTCTTCTTCAAATTCTATTTTAAATTTAATTTAAAAAAATAAGTCAAGATGGGAAACGCACAATCAGCCGGAAAGAAAGTCTTTGAAAATAGATCACAAGCCATTGCTGCTTGTTTTACCAATGCGGAACGAGGTGTATCAGTGATCCAATCGAATGAATATACAAGTTTTTCTTTATCTAAATTTTCAGTCTTGGATGAGACTGAAAAGATTCTCTCCGAAAGACAATTGGTTCAAGACAAGTTGAGAAATAAGACTTTGGATGCACATGAAGATAGAGCACTCGGAGCATTCATTGGAAATGCTATTGGTGATAGTTTGGGAGCTCCTTTGGAATTTTCAGCAGTTAGATATGGATCAGATGAATTGAAAGGTTTGGATCATGCTGAAATTTGGCAAAAAGAGCAATATAATAGATTTGATCTCAAGCCTGGTCAATGGACAGACGATTTTTCAATGGTATGTTTTAATAGTATTCAAGTTTGAAATTGACATTTTTCAAAAGGGGTTGTGCTTGGCTGATAGTTTGTTGGTTTGTCAAAAGTTTGATCCTATTGATTTAAGATTGAGATTTGTGGTAGGTTTAGAATAATTTATTATTTTCTAATAGGTGGTATAATTTATGACAATATAGAATTGGTGGTATCTTGGATATTGTAACGCTTTTGGATTTGCAAAGGATGGATCTCAAAGATCATCAGTTGGTCTTGGTGGTAATATTTCTGGATCTTTTACTGAATTTTTGGGAGATAGCTCTATTGCTTTTACTGAATCTGGTGATAAATTTACATCAGGAAATGGTAGTGTCATGAGACATGCTGCCGTACCAGTTTTTTATCATGATGATATCAAGACAGCCATGGAAATTGCCTACAAACAAAGTAAGACAACTCACCAAGGAGATGAAGCTGCCGACTTGTGTAGATTATTAGCTCATATTATTGTAAAGGCCATCAATAATGCAGATGGTAAGAAGGATGTTATTGAAGATTTGAGTGATTTCACCACCGATTTGTACAGTGTCAAGTGTTTATCTGAAAGTAAGGCTGAAGACTCACATGAATCCAATCAACATCTCAGTGTTGAAGATAGAGATTGGAATTGGAAGAATCCAAACTTCAAGTTCTGTGCAAAGAGAGCTAAACAACAACCTGGATATGTTGGATCATATGCAATGGATGCTGTTGCTATGGCACTTCACTGTGTTCACTCTACAAATTCATTCACAGAGGCTGTTCTCAAATCAGCCAACATGAGAGGCGATTCTGATTCATACACTGCAGTAACTGCTTCAATTGCAGGTGCTATTTATGGTGCATCATCTATTCCAATTGAATGGATTGATATTCTTCAACAATGGGACAGAAATGGTGATATTGCTTTGAAAGCATACAAGTTATTCCACAAACAATTAAACTTGGAATAAATCATTGATGAATGTATTTATTTAAATTCTATCAACATATTGAAGCAAGTCAATTGCCAAACACTGGTCTTGATTTTCACCAACTTCACAAGAAATATCTTGTTTCAGCAATTTCCAATTTGAAAAAAAATGCAAAACAATCAAAGCTTGAAAGATTGCTCCATTGATATTTTCTCCTTCAATGATAAACTATCGGGAGGCTACCTTGGTACCATTCTCATGGACAGGAATCATGACCTACTTTTGAAAATTGTTCCATCCTATGAGAATGATCACTTTAGAAATGATGCCTTGATCAATTCAATGTTACAACAAGTAAAGATACACGAAAGGGAATGTTACTTTTACTCAACTCTGCTTCCCTTGTTAAAGGAGCATAATTTGCTGGTATCTGATATCATTTTCCCTACAGTTAAAAACTCCCATGTTGAATGCAATAATCATGAATGTAATCAGTCAATGTTTCCCATTGGAGGTGGTTTTATTTTGATGGAGAACCTTTTAAAAAATCGAGCTAGATCAGAACTAGGGATGGAAAGTAATTTATTGGTTGTTCGAGGATTGAGAAGAGATTTCTTTTGCTATTCATTGGAGGCACTTGCTAGATTTCATTCATGTTCATTTCATCCAACTATTAGAAACTTAATAGATCAATCTCAAAGTAATCCGAATCATTTATTGAATGCAGAAATGTTTGAAAAAACTTTGAATATCATATTTTCAAAAGCTGATTGTCAGTTGGTAAATTTCATTAAGGATAAGAAGAATATTGTAGAGAATTCAGTTATATTTAAACGTGCTGGGTTCGATCTGAATCATTATTGCAATTTAATTAACAAAATCATGGACGAAAATTGGTTACCCAACGATTCAATATTATCAAGAATTATTGCTCATGGTGATATTTGGATGAATAACTTTATATTTATGAAAGAATCAGATTGTGAGGAAACAAATATAGCCATGATTGACTTTCAATGGATGCATGTTGGATCCTGTATTCAAGATCTTTCCTATTACATTTACAGCTCCTCTGATTTAGCAACATATCTCAAATTAGATAAGCATGAAAAGGAATCATTCTTACATGCTCATTACTATTCAATTCTAAAGGAACGATACGAATTATTTAACAAAACTGAGTCATTCATAGATTTCCAAACTTTCATGCAGGAATTTAATAAGGAAAAGGGTAGAGGAATTTTTCAATTCATTCTCTCATTTGAGATTCTTATTGGGGCAGCCGGTGAAAATCAAAACTTGATTTTAGAAATAATTGAAAGAACACTCCTTGTGCTTCTCGATTATGATGTTTCACTACCTTAAATATTCTGAAATGAGAATAAATTTGTAATTTCTTTAACAGATCAATTCAATTTATTATCTCTTTTTTCACAAAGTTCAATAATCCTTTTTTTGAGAACGCTATTTCTAATGGAAAGAATGTTTTTGCTCAGAGTATCGAGGAGAGAATCGAAAACAGCTTGATTGGCATACTTTTCAGATACCAATTGCAAACAGTCCAATAAAACAAATGATCCAGCTTTAGATTTAACAAGCTGGAGAACCTTATTCTCAGAGACTTGATTATTTGATACATCATCAACTAGTAATTCCAGCAATATTTGATCTGTTACACTCTTCTTGCAATTCTTAATACACTGAGAAACAACATAGGACCCAAGTGGGTGAGAGGCATAACTTAACATATTCCCTTTCATTCTCAAAAACACTGATTCGCCAAACCCTCTCTCTACAATCATTTGGAATATTGGTGCAGAACTTTCATGAGTAATTACATTATCAAAGTTAGATAAAAGTAGCAATATCATAGAGTCCAATTCACCTCTATCACATGTATTTAAAATGTGTTGTAAAACTCGAGAGGAATTTCTATTGTATGACATCTCCAAAATGTGTGGCTTCAATGCTGTGATCAGCTCCTTCTTTCCTTGCTTGTTACAGTGGTCGAAAAGAGCTGGCACTACAAAGCTACTAGATGTTCCTTCCATGATTGGTTTGATTTTAAGTTTGACATTTTGTAAGAATATTTCCGTTAGAGGATCTGTAAACTTTACAATAAGCTTTTTGTAAAGATTGATCCTTGAGTAGTGTTAATCACATCCATGATATAATGTGCCAATTTTTCAACAAATTGAATCTTCCTGTCCAGATTAATCCTAGCAAATATAATATCTAAAGCAGGAGTTGACTTACTCGATGCAAATATTTTAAAATCAGGAAGAACCACTTGAGTGAAAAAGATATCCAGAACCTTATCTGATGCAACACTCATGAACTTCTTAATTACTATTGACCCATGTTGGGAGAGAGCAATATGTTTGAAATCATCTTTAAATTTTTCAATTATAAACAAGTGTTCACCATCTTCCATTTTTTTAAAGCACTCTTGCACAATGTAGTTGCCAATTGGATGGACAATGAGCTCACTTAAATTTTCTTCAACCATTCTCATTACCCTCTTGTGATTTTCTATTTGTAGCAATTTTGAAATCAAAAAGGCACCTGTAGAATCCTTAGATAATTCCTTAACCAAATTACTGTCAATTAATTTGATAAGTCTGTCACACTCGCTATCGCTCATTTTAGAAACAAGCTCCCTAACTGTTGCACTAGAGTATTTTCCAGTACAAATATCAAATAAATTCTGTTTGTAAATGCAATGTTCCAACAATATTTCCTTTCCCGAATCAGGTAGACCATCATAGAGTCGGAGCAGAATTTTGTAACTTGGCCCATGTTTCATCGATGATAATATACTCTTTCTTTCAAGGAATTCATCTAGTATTTTCATAAAATCATCCCTTTCTAAGCAATCTAATTGTTTAATAATGTTTTGTGTTCCACCAAAATCCAATTCTTTCAAAAACAAATCCTTTTTTATCTGTTCAATGGTTTGGTTTCTATCATCCTCAGAACTAACTTGAAATAATTTGGAAAGCAACAAGCTAGAATAATTTTGTGACTTGCTCTGATGTTCATTATTGTGTTTCATACAGGAGTGATAGGAATGTTGATGAAGATTATTAAGAAGAGGTATCATCATCGGAATTGACTTTTTCCTTGTTGTTACTTTAATCCCTCCTCCTCTTCCGAATAGCCAACTAGTTTGACTTTTAAAAGAATTTAAAAGCAGTACTCGTTTAATGAGTAAACCACCACCACTACAATTATTTGCAAGTTTGTTGTTGAACATTTTTTTCAATTATTTAATAATAAATATTTGAAAAATCCTTTTTGATTGAAATGAAAAAAACCAACAAGAAAATTGTTGAGGTTGTCGAGTAAATTCTATCAAAACTTTAAACATTTCAATGTTTTGTGATTCTATCAAAATGATTCATGTTGAGCCAATAGGAGAAAATTTGAATGAGATGAAATATTCAATTCAGTTACTGTAAACTGGAAAGAGGTTACAAAAATGATATAGAACTTGAAAAGAACTGCAAATTGAGAAATTAGCCTGAACTGACTTATAGTGTTGTAACAAACTGTAAATTGAATGTATTGTAAAGAAAATCCATAAAAACACATTGGCATATAATGGCCAATACGAAAGTATCTAGCCAATTAAGAAAACACAACACTTTACTCGAAACACACAGACTTTAGTTTTGTGTTGTACAACATTCGGCGTTTTGGGTGGACTTTGGAATTTACCTCCGACTTGTGTGAGATGAAACTGAAAATCAATTATTATTGATGGTTGAAAAAGTCAATTAATTAAAAAAAACAAACCAAAGCCTTGTTGCGTTAGCGGGTAAAGTTTGTGTCTTTAAAATATATAATCTCATCACCAACAACACATTTGCGGACAAAAGGAAATGATTCCAAACAATAATAATATCATTGATCAGGTTCCTCTTTCACCAATTCTTCACAAGACTGCCTCTGCTGAAAAGTTGTTTCAAATTCATGTTCATGAGCCTACTCGTCATCGTTTCTTTATAAAGGGAACCGAGATTACGAGAGCCATCCTGGAAGGAATAGAAGAAATTGAAGAATATGAAGAGCTTCAAGATATTCTTCACTTATTCCAGACCGATGCTTCAAAGAGAAGATTCGGGTTCCCAGGTCTTGAAGTTGCCATTGAAAGTTTTGAAGAATATATTCGTGGAAGAGGCGAAGAACATAAGGAATTTGATTTTTACCAACACTTGCTTCCAAAGATTGCTCAATATGCTCTCGAAGCAACAGAGAGCGAATTGATCGAAAGATTACCACTCATTGAGATGCATCAACAAGGTTCATTCACTGTCAAACCAAAGGATGTTCGTTGCATTTTAGCAAATGCCTTCTTCTTGAACATTTCTTCGGAAATACACAATTTTATGCAAAAAGATAGGGAGAGAGATTTTGGAGTTTTGGATTTCAATAGACTTTATGTATGTCGTTTGGAGGAATCTATTGAAAGAATTATTTGTCAATTAAGTTACTTTTATCAACAAGCTAATCATGAACAACAATTGTGCATAGATAGAGAGGATATTGTTTTTACTCGTCACAACTTGACAGTAGAGGAGGAACCAAATTGGGCTGAAATGAAGGACATCGATTTTTCTAATGCAGAAGAAGCCAAGTCTATTATCAAGCTTCATGATGGAAGAATGGAGGATATTTTGTGTCGTGGATTTGTTGATTTTGCCAATCGTTTCATTCACATTGGTTCAATTATTCCATCACTCACTCAAGAAGAAATCCTTTTCAGTTGTTGCCCAGAATCTTTCCTCACTCTCCTCATTTGTGAATCTTTGAGTGATACAGAAATTATGACCATGAGAGGTATGGTCAGATATAGCGAATATAAGGGCTATCTCAATACTTTTGAATTTACAGGTTTATACGAACCTCTTGGACATACTGTTGATATTATTATTATGGATGCCATATCTAGAAAGCACTTCCAACCTGAAATGATCAAACGTGACCTCAACAAGGCCTACTTGGGATTCAAAAATGTACCTGAGAAAGAAATTACCTCAGGAAGATGGGGATGTGGGCAATTCGGTGGAGACTTTGTTTTGAAATTTGTCCAACAATTATGTGCTGCCAAAGTTACTGGAAAATCTGTTTACTACTCAACATTTAAGGATGAACAATGTATTAAGGATTTGACAGAAGTATTAGAATCTATTATTTCTTCAAAGATAACCATTAGTGAGCTTTATTATATCATGAGTACCTATCACGAATACAGAGCCATCAACTCAAAAGCCTACTTTATAGACTATCTCAGACAAGAATTACAAAGAAAGAAGTAAATATCCTTCTTAGTATTTTCCGTTCTTTACCATGACAATGCTTGAATGTTGTTTACGAGCAGTCAATCAATATTTTTATGATGTATTTATGTTTGATGTGTTGATGGCTTATGAAATACCAAATATGCAATTACTATGAGTCATTTTCTCTCTGCTTAATCTTATTAAATATGAAAAAGGAAATGTAAATACACTAATTAGAACGTTAACATACGTATTAGCAAGTACTTATTCAGAGAGGGTCCAATCCTTTCCTAAGGTACAATTAAATATTTTCATCTTTACAATTGCACTAATCCACCACGATCAAGTTACCTTTCCTTATGAAAAGAATCAATGATGGCATCACTCAGAGCGTTAATTCATTAATAATCTTTATTTGTCAAAATCTTTATTTATGGTTTTCAGTGATTTGACCGCTGTTATTGTTTGATAGTTTGTTATTAAATCTATCTCCACCTGCTGAGAGAGCCTTAAATTTTTTCATTACCCATCACATTAGGAACCACCCCTCACAGTAGTAGCATATTCATCACCAACAACGACACTCAGCATCAAACTACGTAGATAATACAAATATAAAAAAATGCAGAGAGCCACTCTCACGGAAATTGCAAACTACATCAATGCAGATATTCTCCTCCAGAACCAACAAAACACATTGGCCAATAAGGGAAGTCCAATTTCTGCTGGTAGTTACAAGTTTATGTTATCAACATTAGGAAAGGTTATCACTGGAAGATTGGAGCATTTTCAAAGAATATTGGAAAGTGAGCAAGCAGTGATTGGTGATAATATTCATCGGGTACCTCAAGTTGAGTTATTTACAGCTAAGGAAAAGGGATTAGAAAAAGATGTACTCGTTCTGAAATTAACTCACAAGCTAGTCGACCAATTTACCTTTCCTTATGAAAAGGATCCAGTTGATGATGGAGAAAAATGTATGAAATATATTAAACTTCTCCAATCATTCCGTCATGATAATATAATTCATCCAGAAAAGGTGATACCAATTGATGATGGTCTGACCTATTTTTTGTATCCAAACGGAGACATGCGTAAGTAATTATTCTACTGTTTCGTTGTATTGACACGATTTCCTTAGAACTTTCATTGGTTGATGCCATTTTGGATGGTTTGCTTAATAATGAGCAGAGAAAATTTGTATTTTTCCAAATCGTTTCCGCAATTAATGAAATCCATAAGGCTGGAATGGTTCATCAGTGTCTTCATAGATTTGCCGTCGATCCTCATTTAATTGTTATTGGTGATGGTTGTAAAGTTGGTTTATTTGATCTCACCAGTGTGTCCATTGAAGATGATTCAAACAATGATATTTACAGTTATACTGCAACACCACGAAGATCCATTGAATTTCCTGGTGGATCTATGACACCAAGAAGAAATTCTATACTTGAATCGCCAAGAAGCTCAATCATTTCCTCACCAAAATCCCCAAGAACTCCAAGAAGATCATCCTTTGCAAGCCCAAGCAAGAATTACTCTAGAGATTATTTGTTTGCGACAAAGAATGAACGAATTTTCAGAGATGTCACCGGTGGCGATAATAACAGAAGAGTCAACAACGTTTGGACCCTGGGAACCATTTTTGCCTTCCTTCTCAGAGGAATCCCAATATTTAAGGGATCTACATCAACAGAAATCTGGGAATGTATTGTAAAACTGTTTGGAAAACCAACTGAAAATGACTGGTGTGACCAACAATTTAATGTCAAAAACCATGTCACAACATTGGTAACAGAAAAGGGATGGGGAATGACTGAAGATGGCTCTGCAAACTTTGTTTTTGGATCCTGTACAGATGAGGAACTTGACTTGTTGAGAGGAATGTTGAACATTAATCAAGAAGAGAGATTGACCACTGAACAAATACTTCAACATCCATACTTTGAGGAGTACAGAGATTTAGTTCCAAAGTACAACACATTTACAACATTTGCCCAAGGTTTAAAGGATCCAAATGATTGTACATTGGTAGTCTCAGGATCCAATATGAACAACCAAACTGGTATGCAAAATTGCATTCTTCACCCAACTCTTGGGTTTTTGGACGAGGAAAATTCAGTATTTGAAGACATACCAAATATTAAGAAAGTGTGTTGTGCTGCTTCTAGCACCATGCTTTTGAGTGAAACAGGTCGTGTATATATTCTAGGAGGTCCAAAGGATTCATCATTGATTGAATTTGATTTGGATAATATTGAAGATATTGATTGCAATGGAAATGAGCAATCATGTCATTACATTATGAAGAGAAATGATGGAAAATTGTTTGTATATGGCTCAAATCAGTTTGGTCAATTAGGTCAAGGTCACAATATGGATGTAAATACTCTTTGTGAAGTTGTTTGGGATGAAGAAGTGTTTGTCTCCAATATAGCAGCAGGCAAGAATCATACAGTTGTTTTAGCCAATAATGATTTGTATGCTTGTGGTTCAAACAATCACAAACAACTTGGTATTGATGACCATAGAGAGTTCATTCCATCCATGACTAAAGTTGCCACATTTAAGGGTGAGCAACTCAAAGATATTAAATGTGGTGAAAATCATACTATAATTTTGACCGAATCAGGAAGAGTATTTACTTGTGGTGATAATAGAAATGGTCAGTGTGGTTTTGAAAGAATCAAGAAGGTTTGTGTGCCATCAGAATTGCCATTGAATTTGTTCAACAGAACCCCAATAGTTGCTATTGCTGCAGGTGCTAACCATTCAGTGTTTGTCAATGGTCAAAACTTTGTCTACACTGTAGGAAGTAATAGTAAGGGCCAATTGGGAACTAAGACTGAACTGCCATCAAGTTGTATTCCTCTCAAGATTAATTTCCAACCACAACATAATGACTTTGATATGCATCCATTAAGTAGAAGAGAAATTGAAAGTGTGTATGCCAAATTCGATCACACTTTGTTTGTGGGAATTGATGGTAGAGTCTTTGTTTCAGGCGATAACAGTTATCAAGAGTTAGTCAGTTGGCCTTATCAACAAGGATTTTACTTTTATCATGACATTCCAATCGCAGTCGATATTCCAGTAGAAATTTTGAACGTCTCATGCCCAAATCTTGACAACACAAATTTGGGATTGAAGATCAAATCTGCTAGTTTTGGAGAGCATCACATGTTTTTAAGTTTAACAAAATAAATTCATTGATTGTATTATATTTTAATGATAAACTATTATTGAGATGCAGTAGTGGTATTGTTTGTACCTGGCGCATTAGCTTGGTTGTTTGGATCTTGAGCCAAAGAAATTGAAATGTTGAATCGTCCTATTTGTTGCTCAATGGTTGTTCTCTGATTTTGCATGTCAGATAAATTGAAAACAAATTGTTGAACGTTTTGTACTCTTGTCTGTGGTTGCCCAAGAACTGGAATTCCATTTTGTTGTAATAATCTATCGAATAACATTGGGTCAGCATTAGCTCTATTGTTTCCAAGAAAATCTCTCAAAATAGGATGATAATTCATAATATGGTGATATTCATAATTATTCCAAAAGTGTAACATCATTTCAGAAACTAGAACCAAACAAACAAAGAATCCAAAATATGAATAACCTGTTGGATATCTAAAGTAATAGGTCAAATAAACTCCACAATGGAAATGAAGAATCCAAGGGAAAACGCTTCTCGAGAATCTACTGCTACAAATATTGTTCAAGAATATTTGAGCAAGCCAAATTAAACAGAAAACCATTAAACTGATTTTTTGATCACCACCAAAGAAGTTATCAATAAATCCAATTACACCCAATAAAACTGGAACAAACATGATGTTTTGGAAGAGGTGAGTTAAGAATGATCTCAAAATTTGATTCACAGAATTCAAATGTGCTTGCAACTCAATAATGAGATGTAGAATATTCATCTGGGTTGTTCTAACTAGATAGTAAATCAACACAAAGCTGACCACATAGAGAATCAATGGAGAAATCTTTACAAAGAACCTAGTAACAAAATCATCATCATATTCAAAATGTTTCAGGTAGTACACTTCATCGAATTGTTTGGTGTAGATCATGCCACTATTGATAGTATATGCATGATTAAAATCATGATTGTACTGAATAAAAGCATTGAACATTAAAGTGTCATATCCAATAAAATAGGAAAGAATATATGGTAGAATGCCTCCAAAAGCATCAAAGCATGGTTCATTCCAATCTAAATTGATAGTGTAAACTGGTACTTGTAATGTTTGCTTTGATTCTCTGGCAATGTAAAATAATCCCCTCTCTGTTGTATAGACAAATAATCTAGTATCATTGAAAACTTCTGTAACACCTGAAGTTTCATACATTGTCACAATCCAATATTTGATAGATTCTATAGTATCAAAGCTTTCATAAGATTCTCTCAATGGAATTGATTCATTCTTTGCTTCCAATTCCCTTCTCCAAGATTTCATTTTCTTATCTATTGGACCTTCAATATAGGTTCTCAAGAGGTAGGAATGTGCTGCCAATGGTGAGATTGTATCATTTGAATCGTAATATCTATTAATGATTTCATCTCTGTACTTTTGTAAAATAGTATTTTGTAGGCAATTAATTCTAGGCTTGGAATAGAATCTCTTATCGAAAAATTGATTAAGTGGTTTGATAATGCTCTTGTAAAATGTTGATTGTTCATAGTATTGGAAGAGATTATCGATAATGTCGTCATCCTCTTGTTGTTCTTCGTTTGATTTCTCCTCAGAAGAATTTTCCAGAGCACCATTATTTTGTGTAACATTTTCACTTGTTGAATTACTACTAGTACTTTCCAATAGTGTGGATGTGTTTTGATATGAACTTGTTGTTTCAGTCATGATTGTATCATTCTGATTTAAACTTGTTGCAACAGTAGAATTTTCTATACTACTCAATAAATTGCCACTAACAACAGGATTATTTGGATCTGCTTCTGCCATTATTAATGTTGCATTTTGAATTGGTAGTGTCTCATTTTGAGTGATGGTCGTATTAATGACTCCATGATAATCCTGACCAAATAGTCCCAATCTGAACATGGCAGTAAAGTGTTTTGTAGTATTTTGTGCCTTTTCCGATGCAAATATTTTCATCATTTTGCTAAATTGTAAAGCATTTGATTCTGTACTATTCATAATTACATTCCTTGTATAGTCAATTCTTTGTTGAGCATTTAGATAATTATTTGGTGGTATGCAAAATAGGGTATGTAAAGCAACAAGTAATATGAAAGAAAGACATCCAATAGCCAGCAGATAATATTCCAAAAAGATGGTAACCTTGATTGAGCTTGTGAATAATAATCTAATAATTTCCAATGCTATAGATTGTGCCTGTCGTCTCACATCTTGATCATTTCTATTATTCAATAAATTGCCAAGTCTTTGAGTGACTGTTGGGAGTGGTATATTTGCAGAATTTGTCTGAATATTCATGCCATTATTATTTACTGGTTGGTGAGGAGGAATATTATTAATGATATTATTATTATTGACTAGTCTTGTAATAGGTATTATTCCATTATCGGAATCGGAATCTTCTTCAGAATCAGAATGATTGGTTTGAAGAATTGTATTATTATTATTATTATTATTATTTGATAAAGATGACAACAAATTATTGTTGTTGTTGCTGCTATCCAATAAGATTGGATTCATCGTTCCTTGCTGTTGATTTATTATTGGTGGTGGTGAGGATGAAATTGTTGAGAAAGAAGAAGGTTGTACTGCATCATCTGCACTACTACTAATAGTTCTATCATTGTCTTCCATCATGGTGATGAAGGAACTGCTGTTATTGTCATCTGATGATTCTCCCTCCGAATTTGATTGTGGCATATTTTTTCATGTGTGTGTTGGGAGAGAATTTGAAAGTGCTGGGTGAGGTTTCTTACGTTATTATGCTGATTGAAATGAGAGTTTGGATATTCTGGTGATTTGTCAGAGATTGTGATCATTATTATCGTTTTTTGAAATTACCAAATCAAATTCTATGGATAATAAAGGCCTCTCTTCTGATGGTTGTATCGATGATCAATAAATATCTTTCAATACTCCACACATTACAAGAATGAGTTAGGTACACGGGTATGATGATATTGCCAATGAATTGAATACTTCAGAATGAAATCCTGTTAATAAGGTGTTGAAAAACTTGGATTGTAAATACTTGTTGTGTGAAACCTCGTGTTCACTCTTGAAGTTTGCTTTGGTGGGAAAATTGTCTAATAAAAATAGAATGGCCTTCATAAAAATTGCTGAAGCACCTGGTGATGACATGAAAAATATTCATTGTAAGAAATAAAATCAACCCAGTTTTTGCTCCAACAATAAAAATCGTTGAAAAAAAAATAGAACAACATGTCTCACAGAAAGTTTGAAGCACCAAGACACGGTTCTCTTGGTTTCTTGCCAAGAAAGAAGGCTAGAAGAGAAAGAGGTAGAGTTAAGGCTTTCCCAAAGGATGACCAAAAGAAGGCTACTCATTTGACTGCTTTCCTTGGTTACAAGGCTGGTATGACCCACATTGTCCGTGAAGTTAACAAGCCAGGTTCTAAGATGCACAAGAAGGAAGGTCTCGATGCTGTCACCATCATTGAAGCTCCACCAATGGTTGTTGTCGGTGTTGTTGGTTATAAGCAAACCCCAACTGGTTTGAAGGCCATCGGTACTGTCTGGGCTAAGAATATCAGCAATGAATTCAGAAGAGTTTACTATAAGGATTGGTGTAGATCCAAGAAGAGAGCTTTCACTAAGCTCACCAAGACTTACTTGGAACAAGCTGCTCAAGAAAAGAGAACTCAAGCTTTGGAATCATTCAAGAAGAACGCTGATGTTATCAGAATTGTTGCTCACACTCAACCAAGCAAGGTTACTGCCACTAACAACAAGAAGGCTCACGTTGCTGAAATCCAAGTTAACGGTGGTACTGTTGATGAAAAGATCAAGTTCGCTGTTGCTAACCTCGAAAAGCTCGTCTCTGTTGACTCTGTCTTCGCTAAGGATGAACCAATCGACGTTATTGCCGTCTCCAAGGGTAAGGGTACTAAGGGTGTCGTTTCCAGATGGGGTGTTAGAAGATTGCCAAGAAAGACCCACAGAGGTTTGAGAAAGGTTGCCTGTATTGGCGCTTGGCATCCAGCTAGAGTTTCCTTCTCTGTTGCCAGAGCTGGTCAAAAGGGTTTCTTCCACAGAGTCCACCAAAATAAGAAGATCTACAGAATCGGAAAGTCCAACAAGACTGAAGAAGGAAAGAAGTCCGCAATGACTGATTTCGATTTGACTGAAAAGGATGTCAACCCAATGGGTGGTTTTGTTAACTATGGTGTTGTTGAAAACGACTGGGTTATGGTCAAGGGTAACGTTCAAGGTCCACCAAGAAGAGTTGTCACTTTGAGAAAGACTTTGGTTCCAGAACACAAGTGGGGCAGAGACATGAAGGAAGAAATTGTCTTGAAGTTTATCGATACTACCTCCAAGGTTGGTAAGGGTAAATTCCAAACCACTACCGAAAAGAACAAGTTCTTAGGTCCAAGAAAGAAGCAATTGGAACAAAAGAGATTGGAAGATGAAAAGAAACTCCAAGCTTTGAAGGAAAAGAGAAAGCTCTAAATTGAGACATGTAGTAAAATATAGATTGCTCTAAGCTTTCACAAGTTCTTTTGTACAAATTATAAACATTTAGTCGCGAGCTTAATTAAAATAACTATTTCTTTTCTTGGTATTTGTAATCAAAAAGATAATAGGTTATTTTATTCACTTCTCATCACTATCAAGGTGTCAAGCTCATTACATAAGTGGTAGTACTTTGAGCATATCCAACTTTTAATTTGTTGATATCCTTCTTTGAAGAGCTGGAGAGGAATTTCTTGCAAAATCCTTTTTCTTAAACGAATGATTGGTTCTGGGAGACTTCTCAAATCTTTTAAGGGAATTTGTTTCAACACTTGAATTGGGAATCTCCCTTCCAATACTTCTCTTCTCCATAATCTTTCAAACGAGAGAGGTGATATTGCCGAGTTCCTTAACATGCTTGTGGGACTGAATTTAGATATGAAATTGGAAAAGTCACTCTTTGGGAGGTAGTAAACTTCATAGGGAATATTTTCTCTTTCTTCTTCAGTCAATTGGAAATAATTTGAGGGAAGTCTTCTCAAGTTTTCCAATCCAAATCTTTGTATGATTTTATGAGGCACTTGTTGAGATAGAAATTCTAATTTCCATTCCAATTCTGGCTGTTCTGTTGGGGGAGGTTTGAGACTTTCCTTACTCTCTGTTGGTAACTTCATTTCTGGAAGTTTCATTGGATTTGACCCAAATAGGGGTTTGTATGAAGAGATTGATTCTTTTGATTTGGTATTGGTTTCATCCTCTGTGTTGATGGTTTTCACATCAACTTGTTGAGTTGAGTATTCTTCATTTGAAAGTGATTGAGAGTTACTTCCAGTTTCCTCATTGGACTTCAAATCAAAGGTGGTATCCTTGCTCTTAATGGAAACAGTAGGTGAACCAAATAGAGGTATACATTTTTCAAAGATTGTTTTGATATAGGGTCTTGTTGTTTTACCATAGAATTTCCAATACTTGTCAAAAGTTAAAACTTTTGCACTCAACCCTATTTGAAATTCCAAGCTATCAACCTTGTGTTGTAAGCTGGCACAGATATTACACTTCTCAAAAGCCAATCTTGGTACAAGTCGATATGTGAGAGTAGATCGAATATACATCCCTGCTCTTGCTACTGGTATTCCAATAGCTGCTCCACCAGTCAATGAAACTGATACATATGGCTCCAAAGACGTGGCTGCTTCCAATCGTTCAACACACAGACCATAAACCAACTCTACTGCAACACGCATTGAGAGTGAAATATGAAAAGTCAATGGTACTGGTCCTATATTTACCATTTGTTCATGCGTTGCAATGACTGGAAACGTCTTTTCAAATATTGGTTTAGTTTCACTCAAACAAAGGGAAATAAACTTTTTCACTTGCTCTGGAACAAAACCTGTATTGACAAATGTTGTCTGAGCAATTCTTAGATAAATATTGTCCCTAACTGGTTTATGTGGTCTTTTGGTGAGCTCTGCACTCAATTCTAATAGTGAAAACTTTCGTTGTAGAGCACTTGCTTCAAAGGCTGCTCTTGCAATGAGAACAAAATCAAAATAACTCTTATCTGCATTGCAGTCAAATGAGGCTCCACTATAAATGGCCATTCCACAATAGAGATTGACAGCCTTTGGGCCAGCAATCTTTTCAAATTCAAAATGTTTGGAGAATTTCATATTGGATAAATTTCCTTGTTTTTGAAAGAAAGAAATCATGTCAGTATTGTAGAAGCAAACAGTGTCATTGATATTTTCACTCACTTGAATGCAAGCCTTCTCATCTCGTATTGTTGCTGGGGAAGCAAATTTGGATTTCAAATCTCCAACAAGTTTTGTAATTTTGGAGAGAGCTCCTGCAGCTTTGGTTTCAACCCAATTAGATGCTTTTTGAATCCCTTCCTTGAGGGATTTGTTTACAAAGAGGGTCATCTTTTCCTTTCCTTTCGAGAGGGTGTCTTGAATCCTTCTCATGAATCCGCCAATAAATAAGGCATTCCTTGTTTCAACTTGATTCAAAATATCCAAATCTTCATTGGAGAGCCCAAACTTTCTATAATCATTGCCTTTGATTTTCCTATTATGCCTCTGTTTCTTGTTTAGCATCTTTGAAAGATATTTTGCTGAATTATCAGTTCCTGCATTGTACATGTACTTTCGTATTGTACTCTTGATGCCCTCATCTCTCACAACTTTGTAAATTCTTGCTAATGGTTTCACCAACGACCATGTATTCAATATATACTCTCTTTCTCCCTGGGATTCAATCAAGTTTGATTTTAAATTTGGAGAGAAATTTTCATCCTCACTCCTCAAAATCTTAAGAATAATTCTATCTAAGGTTGGGTCATCTTTTATCCTCTTTCTTATATTCTTTGTTAATAGAATTTTGAAATATTCTGGAATCTTGTCAGAAGCCCATATTGCGTATAACAGATAGGGATCTACTGCTTCACCGGCATTGTTTAGAGCATGAAAGTGGGTCTCGATGTCTTCTTTCGATTCTGCATTTTCTATACTGTCCAAAATTTCTCTTACAATAGTATCTTTAAGAGTCTTATCTTGCAGTCTATGTGCAAGGTCTGCAAATGCTAGGTAAGCGTTTCTTTTTACATTTGAATTTGATTCAGATGTAATGTTATGTGATATAAACTTCAATCCATGGTTTTTTAAATGTTTAATAAATGAATAAACATTTGAGCTAGGTCTTTGAATATTAATGGATGAGTAGATGTAATTGTTTGCAAGAACTGGCTCTATTGATGATATAGCTATAAGATCATTTTGGATATTTTCGTTTCTTGTCGTTGCAACTAATTGTTGAATGATTTCCAAATAGGTTTTGGTTGAGAGATATTCGGCTCCGGTTAGCTTGTTGAGCTTGTGCAAGCCTTCAACGAGATGATTCAATAATATCCTTGCTGATTGAATAGTGTCCAACTTTTTATAGTTTGAAACAATTCCTACCAATCTTGTTGTGTTGTGCTGGAGTGAAGGATCTCCTTTGAGCAATGAAAGAAGTTTTTGAAAGTGAATCGTTGAAAATTTCCTCCTGTTTAACAGGGAGAAATATCTTTTGTCCAATTTCTTTGATGAAAATGTATTTTCGAACATCCAGTCATTCTGAGACCTTGTATTGTTCAACATTGATCTAATAAGATCGTTAAAGTTTTCTATAGATGAAGCAATCGATATGTTGACAATCTTGTTAAGCTTGATTGTGGAGTATAGTCCAGATTCAACATTATCTGACGATTTAAGTGAGGATTGAACAGACTCCCTCTTTGAAATATTCTCAAATTCTTTGAAAATATTAGAGTTTTTCGTTTGTTGATGGCTTAGGCTGATCAACATTGAAGCGTGATGTATCCAGTGGTGTTGAATATCAACAGTAACTAAATGTTTAGCTTGGTAATTGATTCTTCGTTTTGAAATAGGAATTTTGTAAAAGTCCTTGCTGGAAAATTCTTGATAAACTGTCAAAAACTCTGGCTTTTTGGATATTAAACTCTTCTTGTACTCTTGGAAATATTTCCCTCCAAATCCATCTGTTTGATGCCTGGCATCTTTTTTGGTGTCAGTTGTCAACAATCTTAATATTCCTTTTTTCATTGTTTTGATGTAAGCTGTCTCCCTCTTATTAAATATCAATTTGAAAATATGCCCTGAAAAAGATTGAATGATTATCATTGGAAATTCATTCAACTCTTTCGTAAGATCAGCTCTAGAAATCATTTTCCTATATCTCTTATTTAAACCTCTTCCATGAAATTGTTCAAATATCGACTCTGAGAAGCTGACAACGATAATATTCCTCCAATCATGATTCATTTCCTGTTGACATGATAAGACAACTTTTCCACTGAAAACATTTTCCAATTGGCCACTTCCAGAAACACTTTTTGATTGAATCTTATTACCAACCAAGGTAATTGATTTAAATGAATAGACCAAACTCTTCGATTCAGGACAAATAATCCTTTCAAATTTCTTTATCCTTTCATTTCCTTCCACAAACAACAAATTTCCACTTCCCAAAACACCAATCAAGAATAAAAACGCGATCAACATGAGAAAAACCACTCCGTAGTATTTCCAACTCATTAGTCGAGATATTTTTTTCAAAGTTAGAGTTTGAGATTGTAGTATTTTTTGGCGGGAAAGTTGTTTATTGGAGTCGTGCAACTATTCAACAAAGGCACTCGAAATGAATACAAACAATAGGAGAAAAATAATTAAAACCAACGAAAGCTTTAGGATAGCTCTATACGAATCAATGGTTAAATGACCAGCTCTAACTTGTGTGGCCAGAATGCTTAAATCTTGCCACAGTGATGTAAAACCATTCTCAAGCATTTCCATTCCAACTATTGTAAAGAGTGAAGAGTTTGAGGCAGGTTCATACGAATCTAATTTATCCTCAGCTTCCTCAATTGTTTCATCCTGATTATTAAGAACATCTGTCGAATATTGTCGAAATAATTCATTAGAAACTGTCGAAGGATTGCTGGGACCACCTAAATTCATATTCGGATAGAAAGGTAGGACGTATTTCTTATAATTAATCCTTGGAGAGGGAGGTTTCCTTTCAAATTCTGAATTTTCTTTACCTAATTCATGACCTAAAGTATCACATCTATTGCCACTACTGAGAATAGTTTCCACTGTTGCTGCTTCCTTTTCTCTATTCGAAATTGAGGATTTCATCATGTTTGCGGTGTTTATATTGTGCATTTTTATTATATTTGAATAATGAACTGTGTTTTTCAATAAAAAAGAAGATTTTCTTTAATTGGAGAGTGAATGATGGATCAAATTGAATTTAGAGCACTATCTAAAAAAGTAAGAATATCAAATAAGGAATATTGCATTAGATTTTAAGAATAGAAAAGGAAATTTATTTGTTTAATATAAAATTTTAAACCATTTTAAATACCATGACTATTTTTTTTTAAATTAACTGTAAATGTTTTACAATGAAAAGTTTACAAAATTGGAAATCAATCAAAAAGACATCCATCAATAATTTCATTTCCAAAAAAAATGCTCAACAAGACCTCTCGTTTCCTTTCTAGAGATTTCTTGCAAAAATCCTCATCAATTTCTCGTTCATTTCATCGTCAATTAATTTCGAATAATACCCACACAAATTCTAATGCAGCTGTTTCGTCTACTACTTCGGATCCACAAGTGATTATTCCTCAACTTGCCAAGCCATCCAATATTACTCGATTGGAGAAATATCAAGCCACTCAAAATAATTTATACGAAAGAAAGAAACAACAACTTGAAGAATTGATGAAGGCCAAATTGGAAACTTTGCAAAATAATTCACAAACTAAAATCAAGGAATTGAAGAGAAGATTATTAGATCAAGAGGTGAGAGAGGCTAATATTATTAAAACTCCAAAGAAACCACTCACTCCACGTGTTCAATTTGTAAAGAGAAATTATGCTATTGTGAGAAGTGAATTATCTCAAAATGGTCAACTATCTCAAGGTAAAACAAAACAAGATATTTCTGATAATTTTAAAAAGATTCAACACGAATTGAGTAATAGATTTAATGCTCTATCAACTGATGAATTGATGGTTTATGAGCAATTATATGAACAAGATAAGATTAGATATGAAACTGAGGTGAAAGAACTCAAAGACAAGGGTTTTGGATTTAAATTAATTGAAAAGGAAGGTGATTTGTTTGATAGCAGTAATACTGATCCAATCTGTATTGGAATAAGTGCTGATTTGAGCACTAATTATGGTATTGCCAAGCAATGTATGGATTATTTCCCACACATTGGTACACTTAACCAATTGACCAATCAACCATGTATTTTATGTTATGATTCCAAACATGGAAAGGAAATTCTGTAAGTATTATACAATTCACAATAATATTCATGGCTATTTCTTTGACAACCAGATTCCTCTTAACAAAACAAAAGAAAACTGACAAGGCCAACTATAACAATTACAAGCAAGTTCTCAATCATGCCAGAAAACTCCTTCAAAGAAATGGAATTGAAAGAATTTCAATGCCAAGAATTGGATGTGGAGGTAACAAGTTGGATTGGGCTGAGATGAAACAAGTTATTGAATCATGTTTTGAAGGAACAAATATTACAATTACTGTCTTTGTACTTCCTCCAAATCATCACAACCAACCTGTTGTTTCAAACTCTGATTCTACTAATACCAACAACAATGATGGAACTTTATCTCAATAATAATCAAACACTGCAAACACTGAGCTAACATAGATAAATAGTTTAAGAGAATGAACAAAATTTCAAATACACATTTAATCAATTGTGTTGTAATATTCGGTTGTTCTTACCAATTGGTAAGAGTTACACAAAGGACTTAATCTAATTCCTTAATGATTTTTTGCTGTCACCTTTCGCAAAATAGAAAAAAATGCGAAAATCATCCCACTCCAGATCTCGTCTCTCTATTCTTTTCCTTGTTGCTTTTGTCCTTTGTTTTTTATCCAACATTGACCTGACAACAAGCTCCTCTTCATCATTGGATATGAAAATGATTCAACAATTGCAACAATTCATCATTGACTGCACCTCTCCTGATGGTTCACTTTCCGTGTGGAAAGATAAAGTAGATGTGAATACATATCATTCGAATTTTGCAATTCTTGGCTTGGCTAGAGCCATGTCCACAACTGGAACTACCACTGCATCTGTCTATGCTTGGAATTGGTTTCGATGGTTTGTTTCACATCAGAGCAACTCAACTGGTTATATCACAGATTACACAAGAGCTAGTTCAGCATTTGCTTGGAGTTCTACCAATGATATGGATAGTACTGATTCATATGCTGCATTATTTATTATGGCTGTGGCTTCAGTTTATGCTGTCGATAAAAACTATACAACCAATCAAATCATGCCAGGAGTAAGAAATAGTGTAAAGGCCATGCAGTCAACCATGCAAAATGGGTTGACTTGGGCTAAACCAAATTATCACATCAAGTATTTAATGGATCAATCTGAGGTCTATGCGGGATTCAAAAGTTGTGAATATCTTGCTAAAGTAATCAATGATACATCACTTGCCAATACTTGTTCCTCTGCTGCAAGTGGAATGATTGAGTTGGTCAATCAATACATGTGGAGCACATCCAATTTTAATTATAATTATGGTTTAGGCGATTCAGATGTTGTTACTCCATCAAATTGGACTATATTATATCCAGATGCAGCTTCTCAATTGTGGCCAGCTGCTTTCAACTTTCCATTAAACAAATCCACAAATGCTCTCTGCTCCACATTTCTGAAATATCACCCGAATTGGAAATATCCCAATGCTAAAGATTACTTACCAACATTAATGAATGTTAATTATGAAATGACTCCTTGTGGATACGCTCTCATTTCATGTGGATTGGATGTTTCAGATGCTGTCAGTTCAATTTGGTCAGCTGCCAATGCATCAAATCTTGCATATCCATTTCATTGTGGAACAGCAGGTGAGTTGATTTTACTTGCAACTGGAGGATATTCCACTCCTGTCTATCAGAATGTGGGTCCAACTTCTTCAACACCATACGTTTACAAATCGAGTAGCAAGACCATTAGTGGCTCTAGCTCACAACATCTTTCCCCGACAATAATCTTTTATTTACTATTGTTCTCAACATTGTCAATTTTCATTGCTTAACAGTAATTAACCATTACTCAACTACAGTTCAACATCTTAAGAACTTGAGTTTACAATAAACGTTTTTAATTGGACTCATTCTCTCTCCGCCACAAAGAGTCATCACAACCACAACACAATATTGCCTATTCATCACCAAAGGAAGCTTCAAATTTGCTTTTTACACAAAAAAAACATTTTAACAGCTCTCTCTAATTTTTCAATTGGTACTACTGAGAAGGTAGGTTGGTGTGATGATATTGATTGGTTCTAGTTCGATCATCATTGATTGCGGATTATTTGTTGTCGATTGTTTATGATATTAATAATAATAATAATAATAATATTGTGTGTGTGAATTGATGATGCTGACTGATTTGTGTGTGAAAATATTAAATATTGTGATGATGATGGAATGGTTAAATGTTCATCCTCCGAATATTATTATATAATGATGATAATAACATAATGATAACACAATGATTTAAATAGGAATGAGAATTTCAAAGAATATTTCACCACTTTTGAAGAGTGTTAATACTTTTTCTGCTAGAAATTATTCGACTACTAATGTTCTTGGTCAAAGAGTATTGTTGATTGGATCAAATGGACAAATTGGTGAGTTTTTAATGTGTGTGAATTTGTTGTAATAATTGTAATGTGAAAAAGGTGTTGAATTGTCGACTGCTTTGAGAAATCGTTTCGGAAAGGAATCTGTTGTAACTAGTGATGTTACTCTTCCATCAATGGAATCACTCCAAAATGGAGAACCTTTTGTATTTTGTAAGTTTTCTAGTCAACTTGGTGTTAAAAAGAACCATTTATGGAATTTTTGTGTGAATAATTACAGTGGATGCAAACAATAAGGCTAGACTTTCACAAATTGTTAAAAAGGAAGAAATTACTCACATTATTCACAATGCTGCATTTTTGTCTGCTGCAGCTGAAAGAAATCCAATTCCAGCTTTGGAATTAAACACTGTTGGTCTTCACAATGTTTTGGAAGTTTCCAAAGAAAACAATTGTTCTGTATTTATTCCATCTTCAATTGCTGCTTTTGGTCCAACAACTCCACTCGATTTGACACCTGATGTCACCATTCAAAGACCAACAACTATTTATGGTATTGGTAAGGTTTATGCTGAACATATGGGTGAATATTATGCCTATAAGCATGGTCTTGATTTTAGATCTTTGCGTTATCCTGGTATTATCAGTTATTTGTCTGAACCTGTAAGTAGAATTTGATTTTTGAAATATTTATCATTATATTGACATAATATTGTAATGTTAATTATTATTGAAATTATTTAAAATTTATTGTAAAAAATAGGGTGGTGGTACTACTGATTGGGCTGTTTTCATGTTCTACTATGCTCTCCATGGTAAAACTTATGAATGTTTCGTTAGTGAAAATACTCCTCTTCCAATGATGTACATGAGTGATTGCATTCGTGCCACTGTCAAGTACATTTTCGATCTGACTAATGAAGATTTGAAGAGAGCTGGTCAAAGAACATTTAACATTACTAGTTTCTCATTGACTCCAGCAATGCTCCATCAAGCTATTCTCAAATATATTCCATCATTCCAAGTGACCTACAAGCCAGATTTCAGACAAGCAATTGCTGACTCTTGGCCAAAGGCATTCGACGATTCCAATGCTAGAGCTAAGTGGAATTGGCAAGAAGAATACAATTTGGATAAGATGACTAAGGATATGATCATTCATTTGAAGGATAAAATTGGATGTACCGTTGAATTGAAGAATTTGGAATAAATAATTGGATTTTTCAAAAATTAAGAATGTTTCTTTTGGAACATTACAAAGTATTGTTAGAACAAAGATTTGGCCTTTGACGGAATTAAATTGAATTTTTAAAACAAAAAAATGAGAAAACGATCAAGAACAGAATTCATCAAATGGTCGGAAGATGATAATCAACAAGCCTCCAAAAAGATTTTACATGGTGAGTATTAATGTAATAATTAAAGAGCATAACATTGTTGAAAAAGAAATATTCATTGATGATATTTGCTATGAAATTATTTCATTTGTTGGTGATAATACATCATTTATTTTGAATAATTTGTGTCTGATTTCAAAACAATGGTTTAACGTCGTGAGGGAACGTTGGAGATTTTCTCTAGAAATTGATATTTTAAGTGCCACCACAATTTACAAGATGATGGAGTGCCAATTTTTGGAATGTGTTGAGAAACTTACAATTTGTTTTTGGAACAAAGAAATGGAAATGGAACTGTCTAGCAACTTTATGAAAAAACTGAATCAATTGAAGTCATTGAAAATTCGCTCCAAGTTTATTTTCGGTGAAGATTTAAGATCGTATATTGGTGAATTGAAACAATTGAATAGTCTTAATATAAGTGATTGTATTAATATTGGAAACAGGGGAGTAAATGTTATTAGAGAATTGGACAAATTAACTGAACTACATATTGATAACTGTTGTATTGGAGAGAAAGGAGCCAAAAAAATTGGTGCAATGCAACAATTGAGAACATTAAGTATTAATGGGTGTGGACTTGGTAAAAAAGGAGTGGCATCTGTTTGTAAATTAAAAGACATGACGAAACTTGGTATCAGAAAGAATCATATTAGTGATTCATTAGCCTTAGAAATTAGTCAAATGACCAAATTGACTGAATTGGATGCTGGTGTCAATGACATTGGACCGGAGGGAGCAAAATCAATAAGTCAAATGACAAATTTAAAAACTCTTCTACTAGATTTTAATGATATTGGAAAGGAAGGAGTCAAATACATTAGTGGAATGAAACAATTAATATCCCTTAATATTAGTGAGAATGATATTCGTGATAAGGGAGTTAAATCAATTAGTGAAATGAAAAATTTAACCTGTCTGTCTGTCAGATCAAACTCTATTGGTGATGAAGGAGCTAAATATATTAGTGAAATGTCAAATTTAACTCAGCTAGATATTAGTTGTAATGTCCTAACCCAGAAAGGAATCAAATTACTTCAGGAATCATTGAACAAATTAACTTCTAACATAGTCAAATGAGCTACTCTTAAGAGCATCGTTAGATGATATTGTCATTCAACCATGACCAAACAACTGTTAGACTTATAGATCTGAATGCGAGGATCAAGGTTTGGTATTGGTTTTTGTTGAGAGGCAGCTGTTTTTTCAATATTTATTTCATCAAAACTTCCATATAACTCCCTTGTGGTAGCTGAAAGCCAGATTGTCCCCCATCATATCTAGATCATTGTGAGGATTTAAAATAGTCATCTTTTGATTGGAAAAATATGTATTGCATCACCAATTCGTGCACGAGACTGCCGCATACTTTCCTTAATCTGGGAACGGAAATGTTTGTCTGTATATTCCTTTGATCCATTCAACATTAAGCTCTTCTTCAACCACATAACATTTTCAATACTTTTCAAATGTGGAATATCAGCACCCAACATTAATATAAATAAAGTTATTATCACTTGACCATATTTACATAAACAAGCATATGACTGACAACTCAATTCACAGAATTTCTCAAACATTTCACTATTTTCACCTCCCATGACATGAGAATGCATTGGATTGAATATGAAAGGAGTAGATTCTCGCACAAAATGATACCTAAAGCAGCCTAAAAAGTAAGTGAAATCAATGTGAAACAAATCTCCCTTCCTTGTCACCATAATGTTATCATTGTGTCTGTCACCAACACCCAAAACATAGGTAGCTGGACAATAAGCTGCACATGACCTAACAAAATTATCAACAATTCCATTCCATTCATCTTCTCTGTGGTTGTGCATCTTGAGCCAGTCATGAATTATATCTGAATTGAAAACCCGTGCTATGCCATGTCCAGAGCCCTTTACTATATGTGCAACTGTTTCACTATTCTTAACAATTTCAATCATTCCAATCAATTCACCTGTACAAATACTAGCATAGGGTTTCAAATGGAGATCTAGACCTTCCTTCTTCCACAATTTATCCATAACTCGTAAAAGTTGCACAATCAATTGATCCGAACGTAGGTCATCACCTGCCTTAAAGATTATATGGATATTATCTCCTCTTTTGTCTGCATTCTTGAAACAGAGCCACAAACCTCTGTGTTTAGTATCCATGAATTTACATTTGTGTGGAATGATTTCTGTGACTTCCATATGTGGTGATATTGGTAGCTTGAATTTTTTAGGTAGTTTGACATTGTTAATTAATTTTTCAAATGTTGATTTACAATCCTCCAACTTTTCTTGCTTGATTTTAATGGAAATTTCCAGTAATTGATCCAAAACAAAGACCTGTTTCAATAATTCTCTTCTGTGATTGCCCGAATTCGATAAGTATTCTTCCAATATCAGACAGAATCTCTCTTTGAATGAGGGGACATGCATATCGGCTTTCAAATGCCAAAAGACAAAGTGGCCAATAGTATGTGGAGATCTCAAACTTCTCTCTAGCAAAAATCTGGAAAGACTGCTATCATGATATGGTTCATATTTTAGAGATTGAACTAATTGAAGTAAAAAATCACTCAATTGAGCATCATCAAGTTCGTCAAGTCTTTCAATGGCATATTGTCTGACCTTAGAATCTGCAAATTTGTAGCTCAATAATTCTAATGCATCCAGTGGGGAAATTGGTTTCCATATAGAAAGCAATGAATGAGCAATATGAACAGCGTGTGGCATCTTCCATGGTACGCTCAAAATAAACTTGGGTAAAGCTTTAGGTATTTCAATAAGTACTTCTCTATTTGACCATAGCAACCATCTTTCCTCCTGTGTTAGATTTTGAAGAGAGTCTCGAGTAATTATCTGATTAATGATTTGATTCAATTGTTCTTCCTGTGGTAAATCTTTGAAAAATTCCTTAATATTTTGTTCAAATGAATCAAGGCATTCTTCCATCCTCTTTGGAGGTTTTCCTTGGGGAAAGACCACAGAATCCGAATGGCTATCTAGTCGATAATTAATAAAAATTGATGTTTCATTTCCAATATTCTCAATTGGTATACTATATGGCATTGCTCTCCCATTTGGTTTCATTATAGAATGAAATTCACCCTGTTTCAATAACCCCTTAAAGTCAAACATTGGGATAATGACATACCCAAGAGGAGTGTCTTTACCGCTAATACAATTAGGTGAATCCAATGACTGGTCTGTTTCATTCATTTGTCTTGAAAATATTGTAAAGCAAATTTTTGTTTCTCTTGGAAGATCACAAAGTAAAACATCATTGAAAATAACAAATTGATTCCACTGAGGAGAGGTGTGAAGAGGAATCATTCTGGTAAATCTTCCTTTAGTAAGTGGAGTTCCACCATGAAATAATTCACAACAGATATATAAATAGGAATTTCCACTTTGAGATTTTTCAGGTTGAATATTAAGATTTTCAATTCCAATAATTTCAACTCTTGTAGGTTGAACTAAATCCCATAAATTCAAATATTGTGTCATATTAGTATCATTTTCTACGGGATGAACATATTGAGTTTGATCCCTTTCATATTTGAAATCATAAGAAATAGTTTTTTGATTAGAGATGACATCTATTATATCCATTTCTTCCACTGATTTTTCTCTCAATTTTATACATTTTTCACGGAATTGTTGAGCTTGTTCAGAATCAAATCTCCATTCATTCTCTGGACCAATAATTAATTCAATTTCCTTTCTAATTTCCTCTTGTGTTAATGAGCTCGCTAATCCTTCACTTTTCTAATAATTATTTAGCAATCACAAATATCCAATCATCAAACACAAATCCCCATTACTCAATTATATGTGAGTAGAGAATATAACTAACCTCTTCATCGTGAAGTTCCAAAATTTTCCGTAACCATTTTTCATCAATTTTTGTTGAATTATTAAATAATTTGTTGAGAGAGTGTTGCAATCTATTGATCGGGTTATTGTCAAATGAGTTAGCATTGGTTATTGATGTTGTCATTTTTTTTGTACTGGATTAGTTTGTCAACAATCGAGGTTGACAACAAGTATCAAAAGGTTTATGGGTTGTTTATGAAACTGTTGTAATTGAATATTAATCTCTTCGTAATATTGTACAATAAAACCTAAAAATAACAATCAATTCTTTGATTTCACTTGAAAATGCAACTTTCAAATTGATTTACAATAAAAAAAGTATTTTAAAAAAATGCTTGATGAGGAGCTAGCTGAATCTGTTGCAGAATTGTCTTTAAATCAAGAAGAAGAGGAAGGCAATGTGAATTTAACTCTCGAGGAGATTATGTGTCTCAGTGAAGAGGATTTACTAGAGATGGGAACAACCCGAGAGGAATTAATAGAAATGATGAATGTTACATTGTCCGATAATAATCATGACAATGATCAGTGTGTTGTGGTTCATGATGAAAATAATGATGAAAATAATGATGAGGATGATGAAAATGTAGAATATGATGAGTTTGCCTCTGATGAGGAAATTGAAATTGAAATTGACGATTCTGCACTTGAAAATTTGGATGTCGAGGAAGAAGTTCAGGTTAGAGTTGAGGATTTGCCATTCCTGAATGAAATTTATTTGGAAAATATGATGAATTGGAGTTGGGATGAACATTTGAATCCAAATCTGAGGGAGTTTCCAATTCCATCTGCTTCTAATCAAACAATTAGTATTTCAGCTGGTTTATCAAAGAAGAATCGTCTCAAGAAGGAAAAGAAACTCAAAGAAGATCCATCAGTTAGTAGAAAGCCAGTTCCAATTTCTAAAGTATTTCATCATCCAATCTCATTTTGGGCCAATTATAATGAGATTATCACTAACAGATTCAAGAGTAGTTATCCAGTTTCAGATATCAAATGTATTATCAAGAATGATTTATTGAATCGTTTCACAAAAGCAATTATTTCAGAAGAGCAACGTATAGGGAAATCAGTCACTGATCGTATCTTTCTCTGTTTTCATGGAACTTCCCCACACAATATCGAGAGCATTATAGAAAATGGACTCCTCGTTCCAGGAAAGAATAATAATCTATCAGTTATTAATGGAAGTGCATTGGGAGTTGGAATTTATGTTACTGTAATGGATCCTAGAATTAGTGTTGGATATTGTGGAGGAGGAAATCAATTATTTGCATGTGCAGTTCTTTTATCTGATACAGTCAATACGAAGAATCATGGAAATGTCCTGGTTATTAAGGAAGAAAAGTTTATTTTACCTTGTTTCTTGGTGACTGTCAAGACGCCAATGTACATGAATCAATACAATATTTCATCACAATCTGAAAAACAAGCAAATGAAGAGGAAAAGAAAAACTTGACTAAAAAGGGAGAAGTGGTATTTTCCAAAAAGAAAAAGGAAGAAGAACGAGAAAAGATTCGTAAAAAAAAGATTGAAAAAAAAATTAAACAAACTTATTAGAAATGCAATTTAGAATTTTTTAAAGATATCATGAGAAACAATGTTTCCCAACAAGCACATTAACACGTCATTATCATTCAAACTTTATTGTAATTTACTTCCAATATTAGAGTTTCATTTCCAGAGTAAAATGTCAAAGTGTTTTTTATTGATACTTCCTCTCTTCGGAAATGCAAAAAATTGTAAAGTCATTACAGTTTGCTGTTTTCTGATTGACGAGGTACCATTACATTTCACACGTCAATCAGAAAATTAACCAGAGATTGATGTAAAAACCACTTGACTTTGATCTTAAAAATTTTAATCAAAAAAAATTCACACAAACTCTTCACATCCTCCACACACAAAATGAGCGACAAGTTGAATTCATCTGCTAACGTTGTTTCTGTTGGTGTTTCTGGTGGTACTGGTCACCACGGTTATACTGAAGAAGAAACTGAAGCTTTTACGTAAGTATTATATGCTGATGAATCAATTTATTAATTGTTATTATTGTTTTGATTCTCGAATCCTTTTCAATTAATGTTCTATGCATTGTTGTTTATTAATTGAATGTGTGAATGAATTAATCCATTCAATATAACAGCGACTATATCAATTCCACACTCATGGATGATCAAGATTTGAAAGATAAACTCCCAATTGCCAAGGATGGTTTGTTTGAAGCTGTCAAGGATGGTGTTTTGATCAACAAGCTTATTAACACTGCCGTTCCAGGTACTGTCGACGAAAGAGTCATTAACAAGAAGCCAAAGATGAATCCATGGGAACGTAATGAAAACCACGAATTGGCCATTAACTCTGCTAAAGCTATTGGTTGTAGAGTTGTCAATATTCAAGCTGGTTTCATTGATGAAGGTAGACCACACATTGTTTTGGGTTTGGTTTGGCAAATTATCAAGATTGGTTTATTGTCTGATATTAACTTGAAGAATCACCCTGAATTGGTCAGACTTTTGCAAGATGGTGAATCATTGGCTGATTTACTCAAGTTGGATCCTGCTGCCTTGTTGGTTCGTTGGGTCAATTATCATTTGAAGAATGCTGGTTCTGATAGAAGAATTAAGAATTTGGAAGGTGATATCAAAGATTCAGTTGCATATACTCTCTTGTTAACTCAAATTGCTCCAAATGGTGAATGCTCCAAGGATCCATTGAATGAAAATGATTTGGAAAAGAGAGCTGAAAAGATGTTGCAAAATGCTGACAAGATTGGTTGTCGTAAATTCGTCAGACCAAAGGAAGTCATCAATGGTAATCAAAAACTTAACTTGGCTTTCGTTGCCAACTTGTTCAATAACTACCCAGCTTTGGAACCAATCAACTTGAATGACTATGCTGACTTGTTGAACTTTGATATGGAAGGTACTCGTGAAGAACGTGCCTTCAAGTTCTGGATTCAATCATTGGATATTGATTGTAATGCCATTCCAGAAGATTTGAGAGATGGTGTTGTCTTGTTGAAGGTCTTCGATAAAGTCAAGCCAGGTTGTGTTGAATGGAAGAGAGTTTCCAATCCACCAAAGAATCGTTATCAAGCTATTGAAAATACCAACTATTGTGTTGATTTGGCAAAACAATTCAAGTTCAATACTGTCAATGTTGGTGGTACTGATATTGCTGATGGTAACAAGAAGATTATCTTGGGTTTGATTTGGCAATTGATGAGAAGATCCTTGTTGGATACTTTGAAGGCATTGGGTGGTGGTAAGGAAGTCGACGAAAAGGATGTTGTTGCTTGGGCCAACTCTAAGGTTACTGATGAAAAGCCAATCGATGATTTGAATGACAAGTCACTCCGTACTGGTGTCTTCTTGTGCAAGTTGTGTGCTGCTGTTAGACCATCAGCTGTCAATTTGGACTTTATCACTCCTGGTGAATCTGATGAAGATGCTGAACAAAATGCCAAGTATGCCATCTCTGTTGCCAGAAAGATTGGTGCTACTGTCTTCTTGTTGTTCGAAGATATCTTAGAAGTCAAGCCAAGAATGATCCTCAGTTTCATTGCCAGTTTGTGGGTCAAATCTCTCAATAAGTAAATTGAGATGAACACTGTCATCATATCATAACTATATGTATAACATCATGTAACACTTTCCATTTAATAACCTGTTGTTATCATTAATAAAAGTGATAACTCCATTAATTCTTGTAATCATTCATTGTTTATTATTCTTATTTCTCAAATTCCGATAAGATTTAAAACCTTAAACAGCAGGATACTATTCCATAGCATTAAAAATTTAAATTCTATTCATAATAGAATAATATTTAGTCAGCCCTTTCTTATCTACATGTTTGCTTTCAGTGGGACGAAAGTTAGAAAGTTTTGCATTTTGGTCATCATTCGGAATCATAAAATAATTCAATGAACATGGTAGTAACCGCATGGAAAATATTTTTTATTTGACCTCCTCATTTTTTCTTGTGGTTTTATTAAATTTCTTCTTATTTATTTGGTTTGTTTGAGCGTATGAATCGGATTGTCATCTTTTGAGGTCATCCAGATGGTTTTTAACAACCATAAATTTCAATATAATTGGTTGTTTTCATTTTAAACCTATCCAAAATTAAAAAAAATGATGTTAATCAGCTCCTTAATTGATTGACATTATCTAGCTGGAATATTTAGCATCTAATTAAAATATTGAATGAAAACCAATCTTATTGAACCAATGAAATGCCATCAACATTCAAACCTTCAACATGTGAAACTTCTTTCCTAATTACTACAATTCATGAGAATCTTCATGAAGCGAATAATTCTCGCGTATTTCTTTTGTAAACTCCAAGTCCATTACGCTTTTTTATCCAAACAAGTTGCAATAGATATTATCACATTATTTCAAAACACCTCAAAATTATCCTGGGCAGCAACATTAATTCCTCACAAACTCATCTCCTGAAATAATATCTTCCAACCCAGCAAATGCAATGCTTGGATTTTCCAAACTTCAACTCAGCTAAACACATTTTACAATCGCTCAATTTTGCTTCAAACCAAAAAGCTGAGAAATTCGTTCGCCCGATTTTTTCGCCATTTACATTTTCAAACGAGGAGTGTTGAAGAAGATTTGGCTCGCAAACTTGAATCCTTAACCAATACGAATAAAATGTCCCATCACAACGTTAGTATGTCTGTCAACGTGGCAGCCGGTAAGTGTTGTTGATTGTTGCTGATTTGTTTAGTGTTGTTTGTTGTATACGTCCTTGTATATCTTCTTCTTGCTCCTATCACCATGACGATCAAATTGATTGAATTCCATAATGATGATGACGATTTATATTCTAAACAATAATGATTGATAATAGGTGGTATTGCTGGTGTTACCGAAATTTTGATCATGTATCCATGTAAGTACTCTAATGAAAATTTGTCAGATCACCATGATCATTTAAAATTTTAATGTTATTATTTGTTAACACTTTTATCTCTATCAATACAATAATAATTGATAATGAACAATTAAAATAGTGGATGTCGTCAAGACTAGAGCCCAACTTTATGCTGGTAAGACCAATAATCCAGGTATTGTTGGTACTGTCTCTGAAATTGTCAAGGCCAATGGTGTCAAGGGACTTTATCGTGGTATCCTCCCTCCAATTCTTATGGAAGGTATGTATTTGATATTATTATATGATCAATTAATAGAATGGTCTATTCAATTAATTTCTCCTCCTTACATTTCATATAGCTCCAAAGCGTGCTGTTAAATTCACTGCTAATGCATTCTTTAAGAAGCACTTTACTGGTTCTGATGGTGTTCTCTCACAAACTGGTGCTGTTTTGAGTGGTTCTTGTGCTGGTATTACTGAAGCTTTCGTTGTCGTTCCTGTATGTATTGTTTTATATCATCACATAATTATTAATTGTTATTTATCACTTGTTAATGGTGAATTTCCATAATTTCTCTTGTCGATTATTTCAATGATACAATTTCTCCTTCCGACAATCACTCTACTACTAATTGAAAACAATTCTGATGATGTGTGAAAACACTATTTAACACAATATCAATAATTAATATCGGAATATATAGTTCGAACTTGTCAAGATTCGTTTGCAAGCTAAGGAAAATCTCGGACTCTACAAGAATACATCAGATGCCTTGACCAAGATTATCAAACAAGAAGGTATCATGACTTTGTACACTGGTTTGGAATCAACAATGTGGAGAAATGCCACTTGGAATGGTGGTTACTTTGGTTTGATTCACGCTGTTAAGAGTGCCATGCCAAAGCCAAACTCTGAAGGTCAACGTATGTTCCAAGATTTCGTTGCTGGTTTCCTCTCTGGTACTTTTGGTACAATGTTGAATACTCCATTCGATGTTGCCAAGACTCGTATTCAAAATCAATTGCCAGGAACTGTCCACAAGTATAATTGGACTTTGCCAGCTCTTGCCAAGATTTACAGTGAAGAAGGTGTTAAGGCCTTGTATAAGGGATTCGTTCCAAAGGTTTTGAGACTTGGTCCAGGTGGTGGTGTCTTGTTGCTCGTTTTCAACTTTGCTGTCAGATTCATGTCACCAGAATCAGCCAAACACTAAGTTATTTTCTAGTAATAGTTCTATGAGAATTAGAGAAATTTTGATGATAAAAACCCATTTTGTTATGTATTTTTAAATTATAAATTGAAAATTAATTCTTTCTCATCTTCCTTAATGAAAACGGATCTTGACTTTATTAAATATTCTTGATTGATGGTTTGAACATTTTTTTGGATTCTCATAATAAAATCTATTATCTTGATGATTTTCAATTATTAACGTAAAAATTTCCAAACTAACTACTGAACACCTTAATTTTATTGAGGCGAGTACAAGTTTATTCAACCGTACAACATCCAGTGGTCAAAATCATTGAAAAAAATGTCTCGATATAATAGTAACTTTTTGTCATCATTGTCCACTGCATCCAGTAGTAATACAACGAGTGCATCGGCTATTGAGGCACAAATGAACCGTTTAGCTGCAATGCAACTATCATTGAGTGAGAGGAGTACTCCTACAACACCAACCCCACATACAAAATCATCCTCACACCATCATCACCATCATCATTCGACTGTTTATGCCACTGGTTCAAATATTGATCAAATGTTGGGAGTAAAAGTAAATACCTATTTATTGAAAAAGAGTCAAGGAGAACCTACTACAAAATCAACTAAGGCCACTCTTGAAAAGAAAAAGAATTTGATACAATCATCTTCAGATAGTTATTCTGATTCTTCATCGGAAGATGAATTGGATCAGGAAGTCTATCTCGATTCAGATGATGAAGACTTGAGTCTCGATTCGGATAATGAGGATCAAGAAGCTGATAAGAATGCACCAGCTGGAAAGTTAATTCATGAATTTAGATTATGTGATGCTGCTGAATACATTTCAGTTAAATTAATCGATCAGGGTGACTATATTGAGGATATCAAATTGTGTTATGCATCTACATTCTTTATCACTAAAAAGAAGAGAGTTTTCATGATTGGAAATAACTTTTTGGAGATTGGTTTCGAAAAGATATTAATAATACCCAGGGAAGTAACATGGGAGGGATGTCAAGGAAATAACAAAATGAAAGAAATGGCTTGTGGACACTTTCATCTTGTCATATTGACAGAACAAAAAGAAATACTAGTGGGAGGAAATAACAATTATGGCCAATTGGGAGACAATTTTGAAAAAAAAAGTAGCTATATAGATGAGGAAGAGGATGATGTTGAAGAGTCTTCAGATTCTGAAGAAGAGGACGGTGAGAATTATTTTCAAGGGAAAACATTTGAAGTTAAGGAAATTGAATTAAAGAAACCTCCAAATAATTTGAACTCTTTGGGGTTCTTCTTCCTTGAATTGAAGGGGGATGTATTGGAATCTGTTTTCTGTGGAGCTTTCTTTACAATATTTGTAACCAAATTGAGGAGAATTTATATTTGTGGTCAAATAGGTTTTGATGATTCTAATATTTTGAGAGAACCAACCAAGATACGGTTCTTTGATTCTGGGATACCTGTCAGTAAGATATTTTGTGGATCGGACGATATTGTATTTGTTACGGTAGATAAGAAGGTGTATGGGTTTTCATTGTTAGAACCAGAGACTATTACTCAGAAACCTTCCCACTTTTCTCAAATTGAATACTTTTTAGATGAGCACCAAACTTCAGTGATGGAATTTGGTTTAGGTCACAGTATTTTTGTCACGAAGGAGAATCAAGTTTATTGTTATGGAAGTAATTGTGATGGAGAATGTGGAATGGGAGAAAAAGAAAGTATAAACAAGATTTCACTCAATGATAACATGAGCAATCTAATGGAAGTTGGAGAAAAGATAGTATCTGCAGTTTGTGGAGCTACCATGTCAACATTCCTCTCCAATTATGGATCAATATTTGTTTGCGGAGATAATTCAGAAGGTCAACTTGGGTGTCTTGGCAAGCAGCCTTCCTCTAAAGTGCCAGTCAAGGTGCCATCTCTATTTAAGCAAGACAAGACAACGAATCCCTCTCGGTTAAGAGTATTCTCCGGTTATCACAACACTTTTATTCTCCAGCTACCTGAAATTGCTGTTCAACCATAAATTATTAACTCGTCAAATGTAATAATTCTTCTCATCTTTATTCTGTTAACCTTAAAATGAAAATTTAAAGTTCCTTTTACACCAAGAACAACTCAGAACAGCAGTAAATAAAATATCATATTAAGGATGAACACACCAAGAACATACCAAGAACATATTTCACCACACACTTTGGTAAGGTTATAAATAATCAGACAAACTCCTTAATGCAATGAAAATCATAACAAAGAAAAAGAACAAACAACTCTTAATAATATTAAGATAATATTATTATATATTTCATCCATACACACAAAAAGAAACATCATGTCGGAAATTAAGATTGCTCTCGTAGGAGGTGGTTGTGTTGGTAAATCAAGTATTACCATCAGACATATTGAAAACATTTTCAATAATGAAAATTTCTATGATCCAACTATTGAGGACTCTTACTTGAAGGAAGAAAACGTAGATGGTGAAACATTCTTTGTTGATATTCTCGATACATCAGGGCAAGAAGAGTTCCATTCACTGAGAGACGTTTATATGAGACAAAGAGATGGTTTCATTCTCGTTTACAGTGTAACCGATAGAAAGTCAATTGAAGAAGTAACCAAATTTGTAGAATTAGTAAGAAGAGCCAAAGACACTGATAACATTCCAATGGTTTTGATTGGAAATAAGAGCGATCTAGAATCTGAGAGACAAATCTCAACAACACAGGGAAAGAATCTGGCTGAAATGTTGGGTATCTCACACTTTTTCGAAACTTCAGCCAAAACAGGATTCAACATTAAGGAGAGTTTTCAGTCCATCATTAGAGAAACTAATCAATTTTTAATGAAGAAATCACTGGATAAGAAACCACTGAAAAATAAGCAAAAGAAACAAAAGAAGTGTACCATTATGTAAATTAATCTTCCAATTAGATATTCCTTAAATGTAAATAATAAAACAAAAATTCTGAACTTTAATTGTAGAATAAATGTAAATTATCATATTTCTGATGATTCTGTTGGAGTATTAATTGAAATTTACTCTTCATGATTAACATTGAGCATTCACTTCGAGTTTTTGGAAGAAGTCCGCAACCACATTTTTTTGTCCTCAGTCAGCGAAATACTGCGGTAAAAGATAATTTCACCTTGCTGGTACTACTAACCATATCAAATCAACAACTAAAAAAAATACAACAACAACCATTCAACCAAAATAACAATGAGCAATTTAATTGAAACTAGTGCATTCAAATGGGCAAGATTAATCATGTCCTTCCCAACTCGTTCCATCAAGGTTATGTGGCTATTGAATGAATTAAATCTTCCGATTAGGGATATAAGCAAGGAGACTGATTACTCATCACTCAATGTTGAACAAGACAGTGCCATTCAGGTGAGATTTGTCAGATTGGAAACTGGAGAACATATGAATCCTCTCAAGAATCCTCATCCATTCCATAAGGTTCCATGTCTTGAATATCAATTGAAGGGAGAAGAGACTAAACATGTCTTGTTTGAATCGAATGCTATTCTAATGTTCTTGTTGGAGAATTTTGATACTGAGAAGAAACTTTCACCATCCACAAGTGTTTATAGAACTGGACTCAGATATCAAATAATGATGTGGGTCAGCTCATCATTGGAACAAGATATTTCACCTGCCATGAAGATTTTTAAAACACTTTTACAAAAGAAAGGTCTCAATATTATGAATAAGCATCTTCTTACTTTTGAACCTGAAGAAAAGGAAGAATTTGATAAGGCTTCAGCTATTATTAGGGAAAGTTATTTGCCACATGTTGAAAAGTTACTTTCTGAAAGAGATCCAAATTCTCAATACTTGTTTGATAATCAAGTGGATATTGCTGATATTTGTTTAGGGTTTGGTTTGAAGGGTTGTGATACTTGTGGTTTATTGGATGAGAAACTCTATCCTAACTGTAAGAAGTATTATGGAATTATGTGTGCAACTGCAAGTCATGGAAAGGCAATGCAACAAATGATGAAAATGTTTACTGAATCTCTTTCCAAGTAGTGTTGTAGTAGAATAAATTGTATTAATGATGCTTCTTTTTATTCGAAACTTGTTGTCAAAGTCAGTAATGGCAATTTTCAATACAATGAATCAACCTTATCTTATTGCCGCATATGGTCCTTTTTCACCCAAAATGGGTTTATTCATCAGAAAATATTAACAATGTTTACAAAAAGCAATGGAATATTGAAGAGGCTATTGAAATACTGGCTCAATTAAACTCTAACTCTATCACTGAATAACATTTTGTAAAATTTTTGCATTGGTAGAGGCAAGACAGGTTTCGTTTTCTTTCACATATCCAAGAAGGAAACCAATCGCACCAGTGTCATTCATTTTCACTAAAAAAAATTCTACCACCACCCAATAGCCTGTTCTGGAGTAACTTTACTTCCTCACACGTTATCCCATTTGCAATTCATCATCTCTCATTGATTGGCCAACTGTCTGCCACATTGACAATAATCACACACAGGTGTTGACATTTTGAAAGGTTTGTGTTTTTTAAACTGACTTGTGTTGATTATTATCATTATTATTCCAAACGTCGATCTCTCTCTTCCGCGATAAACTTCATTCCGGTTCGATATTTGACCATCAACAACAACAACAACCACAACAACCACACAACTCTATCTTTTAAATTATCAATAGTACTTTTTACTCCAATCAACAACAACACAAGTCCCTTTTGTCCTTTTTGAAGATATATTCATTTATATTATAGCAACGAATAATACGACTACGACGACGAATATTCCCTCTCAATTACATCACACACAATATTTGTATTCCTCTCTTGTCATCATCCGAATAACAAACAACTCCTCTCTCTCATATCTTTTTAAAAGAAGACAACAACGCACTTTTCAAATATATAAAAAAGGCAAAGATGATGTTTCAGCAAAATAATTCTACGAGTATGAATAATAATAACAATTCAAATACTCAACCGTTTACAATGATGTTGATAAACAATAATAATAATACTTCGAATAATTCGAATAATAACAATAGTATGGGTGCTACCATTGTTCCTAACAATAACATGATGAATAATAATGGCAATAATAATAATAACTTTATGTTCCTAACACCGAATACAAACAATAACAACAATGGAAATGGAAATTTCATTGCAATTGATCCAAATCAATTGAGTCCCAGACAACAACAACAGCAACAACAACCAATTATCTATCAATTACCATCTAATAATAATAATGTACAACCAATTATGATTATTAATGGTTCGACTGCCAATAATAATCAGCAACAACAATTTAATAATTCAATTCAATTGGCTGCCTCTCCAAATAATAATCAAAATCAAAATCAACCAACTTTTATTATCAATCCTTCAAATTTGAATAATTCCAACGATTTTTCCCTTTTCGATGGAAATAATAATACTAATGAGAGTTTAATGTTGTTACTTGGTGGTAATAATACTAATAATAATACAACAACTATTAATGCTGGTAATAATAGTTTTAATACGATTGATACCTCACTTTTGGATGGTAAGTAATTTATAGTAATTTATTCTAATATGTGTTTATCCTAAACTACTACATGAATCATTATTGCATGTTTAGCCTTCAACCTCCAAATGAATAACAATTCCAACATGGAAGATTTTGATTTTCTTGGTACTAATACCAACAATAATTCAATGAATAATAACATGATGAATAATAATGTCATCATCAATGGTCAACCATATATTGTTGCCACCAATGGTCAAACTTCCAACTTTATGAATGATAACAATAATCAATTCAATACTGTATCCAATAATAACAATGCACCTACCATTATCTTCCCAGTTGGCAATCAACAAACCATCATTCAACAACAACAACCACAAACACAAAATAATGATCTCTATCAATTGCTCTCATTGCTCAATTCTCAACCACAATCATCAACATCATCATTTGGTGGTGTTGCTACAAATGTCAATAATAACAATACTCAACAAATCTTCAATTCCAATTCTCAATCACAACCACAACAACAACAACCTAATTTCATAGTTTTGGCACCAGCAGATAATGGCATGCAACAAGTGCAACAACAACAGCAACAACAACTTGGAAGTATCATCTTCCAAACTCTGGCAGGAAATAACAATATCTTCTCCAATAATGCTCAAGTTGACACTACTCCATTTGCCAGTTCTCAAATTGATAATACCCTGTTTCAAGTTTTAGGAAGTTATTTGGCCTCGAGTTCTGATCACCAGAATTTGATCTCTACTTGGTTGGAAAAATTCAATCCACAACAACAAGTCAACCAATCTGAAGTGCAACAAATGGCCAAGATTCTTGTTCAATCCATGTCAGATGAACAGAAGAGAAAACTCTTCTCTGTTGTCTTGCCAGTCCTAGAGTCAGGCATGAATAATTCCAACAATTCCAATAATAATAACGGTAACATGGTCGGTGGAGGTTTAGTAATGAATAACAATAATAATCAAATGATGAATCAAAATTCCAATAACAGAGGATTCAATAATCAACCTCAAAATATCATTATTCAACCTCAAAATATGATGAGTAATCAATCTCAACAAATGAGAACTGTTATTGTTAATCCAACTGTTGAGAGCACAATGGCTCAAAATAATATTGTAAATGTTAATGAAATTTCTCAACAAATTCAGGCCTTATCACTCCAATCATCGAGTAATATTTCACAATATCAACAACAAGGCAGTAACAGATCCATGTCAGGCAATAATCAAATTACTTCTCCAAATAAGAATAATTCTGTTAATAACAATGCAAACCATGGCATGCCACCAAATGCTGGATCAAATAATACTACATTTATTTATGAGAATTATGCAGCACAAAAGAATCAAGCTAAAGGAGGTTCACCAATGATGCAATCTCATGTCAAGTCCAAGAGAAACACATGGACCAATTTCTTTAACAATTTCAGAAGTGAAATTTCCAATGATAATAATTATAAGAGTTATTCGGGAGATACTCCTAATGGTTCTTCAGTATCAACTCCTCCAAATCCAACAGTGACCACTCCAACCAGTGTTCAAAGTCCTAATGTTTCTCTCAATAGTTTACCAAATTCTCCAAGTTCACAAAACTCTGCCTCAATTCAAAGAAGAACAAAGAGAAGCAACTCTGCTGGGCCAACTAACAGAAGAAAGAAGTCAATTGATAGAAACAATGAAGATGACTTTGATTCTTTCAATAATGAATTTAGACCAACCTCCCCAGCAGCCCTCAGTGACCGTAGTGGTGGCTCAGATGGAAGTGCAACAAGCAGAAGATCCAACAGTTCAGATAAGAGAAGAAGTATTGAAAAACAGAGAAAGGTCAGAAGAAGTATTGGAGGAGGAACTGGTCGTAGAAACAGTACCAACACGCCAGCTTCTCTCGATCAATTCAATGAACTGTTTGATACAGGTTTCAATGATAATAATAATATTAACAACAACAATATGTATCAACAACAGCATCAGCAACACCATAATGGTGGTGGAACGGATGGAGGAGCTGCAGTTGATGAATTGGATCTGGAAGGATTCTACAACGAGCACGAACCAGAACAAAGAAATGCCATAGTATTCGAAAAGAATTGTTTCCCAGAATTTAACGACGACAAGAAGAATAAGAAGAATTTCAAGATTACACTTGTCAACTTTTTCAAAAAGAAGAAATAAAAATTGATCAATCAGTAACTTTTTCTTAGGTTATTCTTATTCATTCTATGAATTCAATGAATAAAATTTTCTTCAAGTAGGATGGCCATGATGTATTAAGCAAACAGTTTGACAGGTCATTCTTGTTTTTCACCAATCATTTTTCAAGATTTGATGTTAAAAAATTTTATAAAAAAATGTCTGAAGATTCTGAATTTTTAAAGCAAATTGATGAAAGAGAAAAGGCTGTTATTTCATTGGTCAGTTCGTATGTAGAAGATATTTTGCTTTTCTAATTGTGTGGTCAAATAATTTACAATGATGATGGTTTTGTTTTTATTTTTTTAATGATCATCGCATCGTAATGATCGTCATATTAATACTGGTGTTGATGATGACTCTTCTTCCTATAATAATAATATCTACACTACCACCATTAACTTACACAATATGGACAACAATCTAAATTCACAAATCGTTCTCACAACAATTACAAATAGTCAAAAGTATGGTGATGCCTTGAAAAAGTCATTGGAAAACCCACCTCTTGCTGCCAAGAACAAGGAAACAAAGAAGAAGAGTGCCGACGTTGTTGCTAAAGTTTTGGTAAATACCAAGGAAGCTGACATTCCAAAGATTGTTGATTCTCTTGATGCTGATGAATTGGATATTTTGATGAAGTATATTTATCGTTGTTTGGAAACAGGAGATAATGACTCCAAGCCTCTCTTCAAGTGGCACGAAAAGGTTCTCGAAAAATCGGGAATGGGTAGTATTGTTAGAGTTTTGTCTGAACGTAAGACTATCTAAATCACCCAAATCAACATCTTTAGCTTGTAAAGAGTTTTAATTTTGATCATGTATGATTTTAATATGTGTTATTAACAATCAATAGCACATCATGTACCTATAAACTTTATTTATTATTTACACATTGTTTGGATTGTCAAAATTGATACCAATGTTTCCATTATTATTGTTATTGTTATTATTGGCAGGTAGATTATCAGATCTCTGATAAAAGGCAACATAGTCATCGGCATTGGCTGTTGGATTGTAACTTGTAAAGTTTGATTGAGCAGCTGGAGCAATACTGCTGTCATAAATAAATACTTGTGAATTTGTGGATGGAGAATCATAGTTTGGTGGTTGAATTTGAGGAGTAATATTTTCTAAAATCATATCATTTGGATTATAAGGTCTGTAATCACCAATTGGTTGACTAGGTACAGATGGCTGCTTAAAGTTTGGTATTGGAATATTTGGCAATTCAATTTCATTGATGTAAGGTTGAGCTTGAGGTTCAAGTTGCACTGGAAGATTTCTTACTAATTCTTCCTCTCTTCTCTGGAACTCTGTTTGAGCATTGGATTGATTTGTTGATGTAGTATTTGCTGTTGTTGTTGCTACTGTTGAACTTGTAGTATTTGTTGAACTAATTACTGGTCTTGAACTTGTTGAATTGTTATTGGATGTTGTATTGCTTGTCTTTGGTACAGCAATAGTGGCATTGGTTGTAGCAGTTGTGGAGGCTTTGTAATTGTTTTTTCTACTATTCTTAGGTGAGGAAGAATTTCTTATCCTCTTCACAAGCCTCTTACAGAAAGGGGCTGTTATTTGAGCCAAGCCCATATATAACAAGATCAAACCTAAACAAATTCCAACCACTCCAATATCATTGGCATCTTTTACATGGTCATTGACAATGATAATCTCTGATTTTGGACAGTTGATTTTTGCTAAAATTATAGCACTGCTTGAAATATATTCATATGTTTTTGAGCTGGCAAGATATGGTACATCATTAAGGGTAAGATTCGAATATCCATTCTGTATTACTTGCACGCAGCTAAGATATCTATCATCCTGTAGATAAATATATGGCTTAAGAGCACGTGAGGAAGTGGCATATCTGCAACATGCTAAATGTGTGTCATTTCCAAGAGTTTTAGTTTCTTGCAACTTGATATTCTCATTTGAATTGTTAATAAAACCATTAACATAGAGACCCATTGGTGTAATTAGACAAATAATAAATATTATTGATAATGACAACATGATTAAAGCTCCAATGAACAGAACTCTTTTTGGGGTAATTCTCATGTTGTATTGTTTTTTAAGAAACCCTTCATAAAATATGAGTGGAGAAAATACAGAAATAATGTATGGCATAAAAAAGTAGGTTGTCCAACTTTTGTATGTAAAGCTTCCGCTTAATTTCCCTTTGAGAGAAATGTGGAAATCAACAAATAAAGTGAAAGCGTAACAAATCATAAGGTAACATATTCCAATAACGAATAAACCTCCCATAACACCAACACATACAATGAGTGGATTAAAGTATGAGACTGAATCAAAGTCTTGTTGAACAAATGTTGTAACAGAAAGGGACGAAATAGAAGAGTAATATGTCTTATCAGATCTATCAGGAAGCAATACCATTGTAAGTGCAGCTCCTTTAACTTGATTCACAACATCTCTAGTGATTGAGAAGGATCCTGCATATTTTTGAAATTGGTAAGAATTTCCTGAAAAACGATATTTTAACAGAGTTCTTTTCATAGTGACTCTCTTTCCTGTTACTGGATGGATTAGCACTGGATTCAAACCAATAAAAGAGCTTGTACTAATTTCAACTGTCAAGTTCTTTCCAATATTTGTATCGTTGAATATCATCTTTGTAGCATCAATTGAAAAAAAAGAGTAGTCGTTCAATACTGTTGTACTAGACTCACTGTTAACAGTTGTTGCTGTTTCATATTGATATGAGAATGAAGATGATTGATTTTTAGCTAGGCAAGAGGTTTCGGTTGAAAACAGAGTACCTGGAACTTCCTTAATAAGTACATGGACATTGGTACCAATATCGTCTAATCTATTAGAGGATATAAAACTTGTTTCACCATTATTGTTAACCACAGCTGTTCCTGCCAATGAGAAAATGTATCTTGGTTTAAATATTTGGATAGTGTCGCTTGCCATTTTGGTTGAAATGTAGCCTGATTTGATGTCATGACTGGTTGGTGTTGGAATATCTCCTATTTTTAAGAATATTTCATAATATCTGTTTTCAAGTTGGAGAGTATCAGCAAGCATTGTGAATGAGAGCATGTTTGTCTTTCCCCAAGTTTGTTTACAAGAAGAACAATCAAACGAGAAAGAATAGACAAATTCAGGGACTCTCAAAGCTTCAACATTTGTAAGGGCATTGGACGAAATAGATCTCACGGATGAATACTGGCTAATTGAAAAGCTGACACTATTTAACATGACAATAGGATCAATAAAAAATCCAAACTTCCAAATACCACCTGATATGGTAGGAACTGATATTGAACTTCTATAATTTCCCAAATTAGAGGAACTACAGTCTGTTGTTTGAATATAGTCTGTTGTTGTCTCGATTGTTCTCAATGAAGAAGAATAGGTGCTATCAATTCTATTTTGGGTTGCAAGCAGCTTGATGTTTTTCTTTGATTGGTAGGCGACGTTGTTAACAGTGATGGTTGCCACTGCATACTTTGAAGCAGTTGAAACAGATGAAACATCAACATATTTCCAATAAATACCATAATCATTTCTAAGTTGAGTTTCATCAATGTTTGAGTTCGGCAATAATGATGGTGGATTCTTAATGGAATCAGGTAATTGGACATACAAATTCAGAGTACAATCAATGCAATCATTTTCAAAATAGTAAAGTAAATTTTGAGTGTCTAGGATGGCATTCGGGAATGGATTGATGGGAACAGCAATGGCATCTACACTACGAAAAATTGTTGGGTTTGAACTTCTTTTAGTAAGGAAAGCATTAAATCTTCTAGATGAACCAATATTTAAAGGTGGTAATTGGAAATTAAGTGGTACCTTCTCAAATCCATCTTGGGTTGGATCATACAGATTGTCAACTGAAACAGCAAAACCTTCTCCCTTTTCTAGCTTTGGTGTGAAAATGTTTGAAACAGATTTTGATAGTGAACTAACTGAGGAGTAAACCTTTCTCGAAATATACATTCTATAACTGAAAGGTAAATTTGTTTCTACTCTCATATATAATTTTGTTGATGTTGCTGGATTGCAATCCAACTGATCGGAAGGAATAGCCATAAATAAAGTTGACCCAATAAAGTGAGAGTATTGGAAGAACTTTGTAAATTGTGTTTTGCTTTTGGAGGACCAAATATGAATGTTGCCTATAAATGCTGGTATATTTCCATTGATAATCATATTCAACTGAAGCCAACAAGCAGGATTGAAAGGACTAGTGACAAGAGGTTGGAAATCCATATAGGCCAAGTCTGAAATAGGTCCTGCATTGTAGATTGGACCAGCTGATTTTTCATTTTCAGAAAGGTAGGCTTTTGACAAAAACAATTGGAAAGGTAAACCGATTTTAGTATTGTCTGATAATTCCACTGTGTCTGGGTTAGTAGCACTTACAGCCAATTCAAGGTTCACTCCACTCGTAATTGAATCTTCTTTAATAGATTCTATAACAAGTGAAGCTATCAATTTTTCAGAATTTTGTAAATTAACTCTACTCAAAATTAGATTTTTAGAATAAAGAGAAGATGATTTGGAAATGGATGGTGAGATGATAATATTTCCCCCATTTGGTCCAATTTTCTGTAATTGCACATCAACAATTAAATAATTGGAAATGGCAAAACTTCCAGTGAGTGAGACAGTCAATGTTATATTTTCCACAATATCAACAGCACTATTTGTAATAACATATGGAACACTAGTAAGGTTTGATGTTTTAGAACTGAGAATATCTTTAAAAGGTTCTGTCTTGATTTGTTTGTATGATTCTGGAGTCAAGATTGAAATAGTTTGCAAAGAATTCTCAAGTTTGAGATTGGCAATTGTTGTCGACTGGGATATGTAGCAAAACTTGATTTTAACATCACTGATATAAATTTCGGTGCTTGTTGAAATACTTGATGTAATTTTGAGAGTATTGGTCGGATTCAACATCAAATAGGAGGATATCGTTGGGCTCAAGGAAAACTCTTTTTGTAAACAATTACATTGGGAACCATCAAATGGTATGTCCATTACATATTGATCGTTAATAATGAGAGATGAGTTGTGCTTAATTTTAGTATCACATGAAGAGAACATGTACTTGAGGTTGATGGTAAATTTGCTTCCTAGAATTACTTTCCCTTTAGGAACATAGTTAAAGCTACCTTGAATGTAACCACCTCTTCTATTCGATAATGCGTACGTAGAAGGAGAGCATCTAAGGTCTGAAACGCTATTGCTATCAAAGCTATTTATCGAGACAGTATCATAACAAGTAGCGTCGGCCGATTCAACCGAGTCTCTCTTCATGGAAACTAAAATGCTGAGACATATTAAGATGAGGAACAGAAATGATGGTTTTCCTCTCCTTATTGGATAGTGTTGATTCATTTTTTCTAATTTTTCAAGTTCATTTCAAATACTTTTATTATTGAGATGTGATGAGTTCCCTTTCTATTTCAGATGTTCATTTGGCGGGTAATGCCAATTTTCATTAAGGAGGACAATTATTGTTTATTAATTATTATTATTATATAGAATATCAAGTGAACGTTTATACATTTTTCACCTTCTTAATACAAGAATATATGAATTCGTTTTTAATTAATGTATGATTATATCCGCGCATTTTCAAAGCAGAAATCGCCACAAGCTATCACGAACTCTAAGAATTTTGATTAATTGTTTTCATTGTATTATGCAACTCACGAATTGAATCACTACTCAGACACAGTCCTTCCCGTTATATTCAATTTCAATAGTCCTTCACTATTAATTTTCCACTTTCTTTTAAAGAATCTTTCAACCGCCTTGTTTTGGAATCTGTAATCCTGCCCATACCTTCTCAACAAGTTGGATTTAAATATCTTGGCTGCTTCCTTGTCAGGAACTACATCTAATGCGGCCATGCTTTGTTGGGGATTTTCTAGCAAAACTTTCACTAAATTTTTAAAGTACTGGAAAGCCATATCGAATCTTTTCAATTCCATCAAGTTCTCTTCAAAGTTTTCATATACAGTTTGTTCCAAGATATTAAGTTCTCTTGGTGATCTTATTGAACTCAAGTAAACTATCTTGTTACCTGTTATTTCCATAATTTCTGAAACAAGAGAAGGATCAACAATTCCTTTAGCTTCCAAATATTCTCTGACAAAGGTTTCGGATGGAGAGAGTTCTGTTCCGATCACTCTACCACCACCTCTTGAAATTGAGGGGTAGAAGCCATCAGAGGAGATCATTAACAATGCAAAAGGTCTAACATGACTAATATCTCTCCAGAAAGCAATGAAGGTATTAGTAATCTTTGGGTTTCTATTAGCACCATCAATAATAATTAAAGGACAATCATCACTATTCAAATAGTTAAAGTATTCTGTTAAGGTTCTAAACACAAGTTCTTCTGTAGCATGCTCATTTATGGATGTAATGTTTAGTTTCACTCCAACTTCTTTCCAAGAGTTTCCACTTTCCAACCTCAAAAGAGTATATGGAAAAGGTTTCGAATCTTTCAACACTTCATGTAACATTGTTGTTTTACCAATACCACTCTCTCCATAAAAGTACCTCAACAATTTTGTATCAATTTGACATTGTTTCATTTCTCCGATTGCTTCTTTGTAGGCATGAAGAAATTTAGTCTCCTTAATTTTGGGAGTAAAGAAGAACCTCTTCTCTTCATAAAAAGTGTTGTTAAGTCTCACAATCTTATCATCCGAAAATCTATTCTGTTGAATCGTAGTGTTACTTTGGAAAGAACAGCCAATATACATTGCAAGTGCGGCCAATAAGGTTCCTATCCCCACCATGATAGCGGTTGTACAGTGAGAACAATTAACAACATTTGCAAGAAGCTTTTCTTTTCGTTTCTTTTGTTCTTTTTCTTGAGCAAGGCCTAAATCATTTTCGGGAGATGGTGTAACTGTGAAGGATCTATCAATGCTAGGAAGAACACAATTAGAGGCTGTGTACGTTTTGAGACATTGTTTTAAGGCTTTAACTACTGCTGCATTACCTGAGCGTAAAAGTCATTACAAATTTATCGGCCGATTCAGCTCCTAATGGAAACTATTCTTAATTATTAATGTATTGAATATATGAATTATTTTTTTATATTAAATATTATACATATACACCTTCTCAATGCAATGGAGAATATGTTATTAATTAAAATGATTGTATTCGCACAATTTCAATGATTGGATCAGAGAAATACATCACCACAAGAGCTGTCATCACTTCATAATGTGTTAGAAGAAGAGTGGTTTTAAAGTTCCCCTTCGAATTTTTGTTGGTCAAAAATCTCTGAGGGTCATTATCATAGTTGAAACGAGTAAAAATTTTGCCGCCTTTTGTACTACAAGAAAAATTGTCCTCCTCAGCATGACTGGTTGAAAAGTTAAATTTAAAAAATTATCCAAACAAACAACCGACCACTTGCCATCTTTTTTTCATCAAGATGGGATCTGCTTGCAGCTTGAACAGCAGTGAGAATGTTGTTAGTCCTAATCAACAAGAATCACCAAAAGATTTTAATCAACATAAATCAATTAGATATTCGGAAAGGAGAGTATCAAAAGATTCTTATGCTTCCTCGGAGTCAGAAACGAAAGTGGTGGAGGTTCGTAAGGCACACTCTTTCAAACTTCCTCCTCCCCGAGTGAATTTGATGGGATTTAAAACAATACCTTTTGGAAATGGAAAAAAAACAACGGAGGAGGTTAATGCGGAAATAATTTGTTCTTATTTACCTCAACATTTGTTGTATAATCTCAAGTCTCTCTATTACAAGAGCAATAATAATAGTAATGTAAATGATAGGAAATCAAAGGCATTGGAGGAAGAAATGTCAACAACAATGTCTCCACTTAGTAATATAACATATGAAACCTGTATTTTAATGATTGACATTTCTGGATTTACTAATTTAACAGAGAGCCTTTCAAAAGAACCTAATGGAGCTGAGCTTCTTACTAAATATATTAATCAATATTTTACGACATTAATTGCCTTTATTTATGATGTAAGTAGGATAATTGCGCAAAGTATTAACATGCAAAGTTTGGAGGAGATATCGAACGATTTGCAGGAGATGTAAGTTGCTTAAGAACTTTTTTATTGAATGAAATCTATAGGCTATTATTTGTCAATTCCATTACCCACGTAAGGATAGAACTTTGGCTGAGTGTGTAATTGCGGCTGTTCAATGTGCCTTGCGAATTCAGCAGACTGAATATTTGAAATCTTTCAAGGTGAATGATAACATATCACTTCAGATACATTGTGGTGTGTCTTTGGGATATGTAACGACGCACCATTTGGGAGTGAATGATTACTGGCTTCGAATCACTTCTGGCCAAGCTCTTCTCGAAATGTCCTCCGCTTTGGGTAATAGTCTGGTAGGACAAGTTGTGATAACCAGGCCAGCATTTGAAAAATGTTCCAATTATATCACTTGTAGAAAGTTAGAAATCAAAGAGGCAGATGTGTATGTAGCTCTGGCATCAAAAAGGGAGCCCATTACTGGACTATCATTACCCATTCTAACAGTGAACTCAACCTTTATTCCAATACTTCGTAAATTTATTAGCCCACCTGTTAGAAACAAGATAGATGCAGGACAAAGTGAATGGATCAATGAAGTCAAACCTCTCACAGTGGGGTTCTTGTCCATTATTGATACAAACAAGTACGAAACAAAAGATGATGAAATGCAAGTGTATCAAACATATTTAACAAACGTTCAAGGCGTATTGGAAACTTATGAGGGTTTTATTGCAAACATGTTGTCGGATGAAAAGGGTACTATTCTTGTATTTTCTTTTGGTTATCCTGTTAGTCATATCAGTGATTCCATTAGAGCAGTGAAGGCAGGTATTGAACTGTCAGGCAATTTATCTCAACTAGGAATGAAGTTTGGATTGGGAATTGCCAGTGGAAAGTGTTTTATTGGAAATGTGTATGTTTATATTTATTTAACCTTAATAATCTGTATCAGTGGGTCAGAATATAGAAAGGAGTTTACTATTTATGGTGATAAGGTAAATTTGGCTGCCCGTTTAATGAAGGAATCAGAAAAAAATGATGGAGTTGTGTTATGTGAAGAGGAGACAGCTCAAATGTTGAAGGGTATTCCAATAGAACCACTAGAGCCAATCAAGGTGAAGGGAAAATCAGATTTGATAAAAATTTGGAAGGTCAAAGACTCATCAATCTCTTCAACTCAAATGTATTATAACATTAAGAAATCTCCTTCACAAATTATGACAGAAGACCATTCTGAATCATCTGGTAAGAAAAGTTACAGTGGCTCTGAGCATTTGAATTCTCTCAAATATCCTATTGGAAGAGAGGAAATATTTGATAGTATTTGTGGATATGTTAATGAAAAACAGCAAGAAATAGAACAGGGTAAGAAAACAAAGACCAAGATAATTTTTGTGAAAGGAGAAAATGGTGTTGGAAAATCTGACCTTTTGAGAAGATTAGTGAGCGAATTGAAATCAAAACTTGCCTGTGTTTATAATTCAGCTATTGAGTTCGAAACTCCATTTTATCTCTATCTAGGAAACCTGAAGATTAGCATTACTGAACGTTTTTATAAGAAGAACGGATTGGATTTAGATTATAATGATGTTGAAAATCTTTACAACAATATTAGTAGAGAACAAAGAGAAGAAATAATGTTGGAAACTTTCAAAGAAGAAAAAGATCGTGACAATTTATACTTATTGAACCCAGTTGTAGGTACCGAGTTTAAAGAGTCGAAAGATAGTGTTAAACTGGATCAGGAGGAGAGAATTACCATCGCTGCTGATCTTTTCGCTAGATTGCTTTCTATTTCTTGGATGTATATGGGGTATTCAGCACAACCTTGGTTTCTACTATATGACGATTTCCATTTTACAATGCAGTTTGACCCCTATTCAAGGATTGTTACGAAAAAAATTTTGGACCTTGAGCCAGGAATTACCAACTGTGTATTGTTGCTTTCCTGTAACGAGCTTCCAGATGGACCACAAATGGCGGAGAAGAGAAAAGAGCTTGATGAGTGGAAGGCTAAGGCTGACTTAGTAATCGACCTTAAAGAGTTCACCAAGTCTGAATGTGAAGAATACTTAAAGCTTTATTTTAATGCTTCAAAAGTCGATCCAAAGGTTTTAGACATTTTCGTCGAAAAAACAGAGGGAAATCAACAGTTTTTAACAATGGCCCTTCACTTTTTACAAGAAAATGGAAGAACTTATGTAGAAGATGGCTGCCTCAAGTTTAAATTTACGACTATGGATACGATTGAATTGCCTGCCACAATGTCTTCGTTCTTTCAACAAAAGATTGACAGATTGGATGTTGACTCTCAACTTGTTCTGAAAGTTGCATCTTCGATTGGAATCCAATTCGATTTTGAGACTCTTGAAGCAATATTCCCAAAGGAATCAAATGTGAAAAAGGACAGAAAATTATCAGATATTTTGAAGAATCTTGTTGGCAGTCATCAGTTTTTAGAAGTGGTTGAGGAGACAAAGGGTAAACATTTTCTTGCTTGTTCATCAAGTAAGGACAGAACGTTCAAATTCAAATCTTCCATGATGCTACAGATTGTGTATTCCACTACTCCCAAAGAGCAAAAGAGAGAATTTCACATGTCTCTTGCCAAACACTTTATCAAGACAATTGAGCAACAATGTAGAAGACACAAAAGTAGAGAACGATCCTCGTGGTATATTAAGGAAATCGCCGTTCATTTAGGCCACTATTTTGATAAGATTGCTTTAGAGGAAACCCTCTCGCTAGGATCAGTAGAAAAGGAGGAAATGCTTCATTTAGCATTGGCGTGTGTTATAATTCCAAAAGCTATCACTCTATTGAGCCAAGAGCAGGAAGCTTCTGTTTTCAAGCATCTTTGTGTTTCATTTAATACGATATTGGAGAAAATTGTAACATTGTGGAAAGGAGAAAAGGAAGGAAATGAAGAAGTCAAGTACACCGACCTATTAGATGTTACAAAGCTGAACGTTTTCGAGTCAGTTCTCTCCCTGATTGATATTACCAGAAAGAGATTTGAAGGGATAACACGAATTTCTTCAACTTTTTCCATTTTGGGTCTCAGTTTTTTGAGTGTTAAAATCTTACTTGCAAAGAGTCTACTCAAATTTGGAATATTTATTGAGAATTTGTTTGACGCAAATTTGATGCCGACTGGTGAGGAAGCATTAACCAAAGCAAAACTGTATTGCCCAGAATCAGAGAAAGAGTTGATCTTTTCTATTGAATCTGAGAGATGGTTCATGGCTTTTTACTTGAACAAGACAGATGAAGCAATAGTATTGAGTTCAAACCTCATTAATTTATCAACAGAAATAGGAGATACTACACAGCAAATGTTTGGTTCTGTATCTTGCATGATGACTCACAACACCAGGGGTAATTTTAATAAGGTAATTCTCTTCTCTGAAGATGTTATCAATCAGTATTTGAGCGATCCCGACAAGTATCATCAACAGTCCATTAATAGGTTCAGAAAAAGGGATGCTTTGCTTGTATCTTGTACCTACTCGATGCGGGCTTTGTGGTCTGTTGGTAAATATGAGAGTGCATCAAAATACTACACTTTGGGATCTGAACAGAGCAGGGTCAGACTTCACCTCCCTTCTTACATGTTCTTTTACTCATTTGCTTGCTACTATTTATTAATTAGTGGTCAATTGGATGAGCTAGAGAGATCAGCTAATCAAGGAATGAGCATCATTTCAATATTTTCAACAACTGTGGCAAGTCCAACCCAAGTATTAAGCGCCAAGTTTTATCTTGCCTATGTCCAATTTTGCAGAGAGTTAACGTCTGGAATTAATATTGTAGAGAAAGAGCAACGGTTAAGGGAACAAGCTGATCACATGGAATCTCTCTTTAACTCTCTTCACATTTATGCACCTCCAAGCTTAATATTCGATTATGCAATTTTAGAGTCTCGGGTCAAGTATTTGGAATTCCTAGATAGTATCCAAATTGGTACTGATGTTCCGTATCTTGAACATACAGAGACACTCTTCAAGAATGCACTAGCATCACATCAAGAAAATTTATTAGGAGAAATACTGAGATTGCAATCCAGATTTCTTCTAATCAAGTGCTCATTGCTTGAGGCATCTTTCGAAGAATGCTATCCTAATGTTGAAAAATCCTACTCTGATGCACTGCAATTTGTTTCTTCTCAATCAGCGCATGGTGTCAAGTTGAGAATTCTTCTGGACATGTACGACTGCTATCATTATTTAATATCGAAAGGACTGAAATATGTAGAAGACAAACTTCCAGATATTATTTCAGATATGGATTATCTTATGGAAAATTACATTGAACAACACGAATCAATCCAATCTTTGAATGAAAGATATAAGATAATTAAGCAGTAGTTGGACTATCTTTATTAATTCATCATGCATACCGATTTGGAAAATAATATTAAGTTAAAACCCTGTTTCACTTACCCATCTCAAGTAGTGTCGAAAGCAAGAAGGAAATGGGAAAGAGTACCAACTCATGAGTATTTCACTCTTGGAGCTGTTCTTTGCAGTTCCAATACCAGAAAACAATTTATAATTCTGTGAGAAGGAGTATTGAGTAAGACTATCCTTGGTACTACTATTTACTGTTTCCTTTTCCTTTAAGTTCATCACAACGGTCTAACAAATAATGCACTAATTTGTTCATTGGATGGGCATAAGAAATAACGTTTTTATCACTACCAACAAATTTTTATTAAAATGGGAGCTATCTGTAGCTCTTCTCATAAGCAGGGCGGTGATCACATTTCTCTCAGCAAATCCATCACAACAACACAAGGTGGCCATCACTCCCTTAATACATTCTCGCCCAAGTTTCAATTTGGAAGGGACAAGCTATCAAGAACCTCCATCACCAGTGAGGAATTTGAGAATATTCAAGTGAGAGCCTCAGCAGAGATGAAGAAGGCAAGCTCCTTCCGAATACCCAATGCTAGAGTGAGCTTTATTGGCTTGAATAATTATCAATCTGTATCACCTTCCAAGGCCAAATCACAGGAGGAATTAAATCTCGAATTGTCAACCTCCTTCCTTCCTCAACATTTACTATATTGCCTCCGATATATATATTATGGAGGCGAGGGTAAACAATATAAGGTAAAGCTAGGACATCACCTTCAGAAAACAAATTCCAATGAAGGTCTCGATACAGAGAGTAAATTCTCTAGTTTTCTCTCTGTTAGTACTGGATCTGCTTCTAATAAGGGATCTGACCGTCCACATTCTCCTTCACTACCACCTGGTCCAACATCACCAATCCCTAATAATAATGTTGTAAATAATAGTGATTCTAATAGTAGATCTTCATCACCTAGTAAGAGGAGCTTTGGTAAATAATAAGAAGAAATCATCAAGTCCTGGAATTAATTTGTGGAAGAAATACAAGCAAAATGGTTCTACTTCATCTATCAAACCAGTGGAAGAGGAAAAGATGAAGTTACTCTCACCTGTGAGTGAATTTTCCTATGAAACATGTATATTACTTATTGAAATGAAAGGATTTTCAAAAATTGTGGACTCCTTCTATCATGAAAAGGATACTTGCAACGTTTCTGAAATATCAAGATATATCTACTATGTGTACACTAGTTTAATTGCTGTAATATATGAAATGGGTGGAGATATTGAAAAATTTCAAGGAGATTTGATTATTTGTCAATTCTACTCACCTAGGATGGATAGAACTTTCACAGATTCAATTCTTGCAGCTGTAAAATGTGGAATTAAAATTCAAACCATGACCAATTTGAAAACTTACAAATCAAATGACACACCATTGGAGGTGAAATGTGTTATTAATGTGGGTGAGTGTACTTCCTATCATTTGGGAGGTTTTGGATCTCAATGGTTGAGAATTTTCGGAGGGGAAGTTTTACTAAGGGTTAGGGAATTGTTGAAAGAGTGTAAACAAGGTAATGTTTATATTAGTGGTGATATATTTGAAAAGTGTAGGCAATTTTTGAGGGCTAATGAGGAATCACCTAATTTATTTCAAGTTACATCACTTTCGAGGGATATTTCTTCTCATCCACTTGACTCTGTTTCCTTCCATTACACTTTTGCAAATGCTCTCTACCTGTTCATGAACAGAAATGTACTGTATGGTATTGAAAGCAAAAC